GTTTTATGACTCCACAAAACTCTTTCTTCAAAACACAATGTGGAGGGAGCAGAATGTAAACAACTTTGATCCCTATCAACATAATATCTACGCTAATAATATTATTATTATTGTTGAAAAAAGGCAACTCCCGCATAAGGAATTTTTCACAAAAATACACCCTGACTCAGAACAACAATTTGTGGATCACACAGTGTCGTCCCGTTTGGGGATCGGACCCACAACACTCAGCGTAGTAGTGAGCGGCGTGGCGACAACTTAAACTACTATGCCAACCATGCAGTCAAGTAATAAATAAAAGCCAAGAGTTAGTTTTTTAGAAAAAACTAGTACCCTATCTATTGAGAAAGATTATACAGAAAGCAAAACTGCAATGCACAGTTAGTATCCTTGTATAATGAACATATGTTTAATCCATTTGCGGCATGAGACTTGTACATGTGCAAACATGATGCACTAGTTTTCAATCATTAAATTTATCTTACCTTAAACAGATCTATAGATTTAGGATGAAATATTGATATTCTATAAAATACACCATAATTTCTCATGTATGCTTGAAACATTTTTGTACAAAGAGCTCATTGTTAGGGTCAAATCTTAAAGTTAAAGATTTACTTCTCTCAGCCGAAAGACGTCCACCGCTAGACATAGGTCTCTCTCAAGGTTCGCTACAACAACCGGCCCTGAGCTGCTTGGGCAGGCCAAGGGCAGGTTGCGGGAAGCCGTGAAAAGAACACAACATACCTTGCAATCCTTGTGCCTGTAACACCAGGTGCAGCCGAAGAGCAAACCCACGGCGGTGAGGACGAACGCAAGCGCCGGCACTGCCGCATATAAACCGCCCTCTGACCCCCAACCCTCAAGTGGTCTAGGTATATCTGTAAGAGACATGAAAATATTGTTTAATGCATTTAGAGAAATAATAATCATATTTTTAATTAAAAAAAAATATTGATGACATTGACTATTCATACCTATAATATGTAAATACTCTAACACTTCTATCTAAATACATTTATTGGTGTGATTTTTTTATTATTTAAAATCTCTAGAAGACCCTATTTCTTAGCATTTCATGGATTCACTTGCGATTGCAACAGTGCTTGGGAGGTTTAGCGAGTACTCCTTGTCAAGCCGCAGCCTTTACCTCCACTCTCTGCTGTATTTTTTGCACGAATGACTATGGTACCTAGACCTAAGATAAATATTGTTGTATTTGTGGCTCCACTTTTAGCACATGGTGGCCATTTTCTAATACTGCTACAAAACATTTTGGGTTTGTGACATCCATTGCTGTGGTCAAAGCCATTGCCTATGCCAGGACGATAAACATTTCAAGTATTGTCCATATTTGAGTACCAATAAAATTGGCATGGCATCGGGTAACCTCACCCACTCAATGAAATGCGACGAAATAATGGATAAATACTGGTTTTTGGTGAGGTTCTGGTATCACTCTCACTCTGCATTTGTGCCAAAGCATGGTTCTCCCATGTTAAATAATAAGAAAACAAATGAATTTATGTTTCAAAGGAGTGACACACTACAAAATAACTAGAACAAATGAGCCAACTTTATTTCGATGGTATGTTTGTGCAAATCGAGCAATTGAAGTGACATTGACGACACATCTGAGATACACATCAATGGTGGTAAGGATCATAGTAGCTAACAGTTGAACACTATATTCTTCGACCATCTATTTTGACGTAGTAATGCTCAAGTTGACACCATGATTATTGTAAACCCAAATACAATTCTCCTACATATGTATTGATATCTACTTTTAACATTGTGTGTTCAACTGTCTAGACCATGGGCTATAATTAAGGTATTTCTAGTCATATGCAACTATTTAATAATTCTGTATGAAAATTAACTAACAGCAGAAATATCTGTAAATATCTAAAGTAAATTTTTAAATAAAATCTTTAGGTTTGCATGTGCTAATGCTTGACATTAGTAAATTATAGTAGGAATTTTTACTTAAAATCAATTTTACATAAAATTTATTATGTATTATTAACAACTAGTGATGTGCCGGATATCCGTATCCGTATCCGCGGATATCCAAAGGAGAAGAGAGATCCGTAACCGTATCCGTAGCCGTGACTTTTTTTGGCGGATCTTTCAATACATATTACATAGATGAAATTCTATATAGGTGATTTCGTAATCACTGTAAAACTCTTAGGTATGTGTTTGTAACACTATAAACAGAAACTTTTTTTCTGGCCAACGTCAAAATAAAAAAAAGTGGTCCTCCATTCAAATGACCAATCAAATGTTGTTAGTTTGTAAGATTACTTTTTATTTCTTAAAACAAATATTTATCACCTTTGTATTGCAATCATTTATCGTACTACACTAAATCTACTAGGCAGGTAGTAGGTACTGAAAGAGCTATCTTTATAATGAGATCAATCAAGCATCTTTGTATTAGCTTATTAAAAGAATGAAATATTTAAATATCAACGGCAAAGCGTCAAGTGGCGACAACTATCAAGGTCACGGGCTCCGATTGAGTAAGAAACTTAAGATCCGTGACCACGGATCTTGACACCAAATATCCGTATACGGATCCGTATCCGCGGATATACTTTGTTAACGATCCGGCACATCACTACAACTACAAATTTTAAAAATTTATGAAGACGCAAAAACATGTTTTGACCTTAAATTTATTGCTAAATATTTACTTTTCTAATTAATCAAATATAAAAAATACAACCTCAGTAATAACCTTGTTGTAGGCATAGCAGTAATTTATGTTACAATTAAAAGTTTATTTCAAATTTTTTTTTAAAGAAACCTCTTTTATTCTTATATTTTTATGTTACAGTATTGGAACAGGCACAACATTTTTTTTATGCTTATTCGTGATGGTGATACATAGAAAAAATGAAAGAAACTATTTATTTAGAAACATAAACAAGAAATACAAAGGTGCTTAACAAGACATAAAATTAGTGTAGCAGATCTTATCAGATAAATATGTAGCTCAGTTCCCACACTAGGCAAGCCTGTATCGTAGGATCCCATTACATTTCATATTTACACTACTTTAAGTTACATGTAGGTAAGATAAATTACAAATTCAATATTCAACAAATAAAATCTATAAAATCAAATTTAATATGAATGTGTGAATGTAAACTAATCTTTAATTGACTTCAAAAAGCACATTCCCAATGTCTTCATTTCTATTGTTGGGCTGAAATGTCTTCATGAAATGGAAAAAAAGGTGATGAATTTATTATCTGTGTACAAAAGAGTTCCTTTGACATTTATTATAAACAATTTTATTTACAATAAAAAATATATATTATTTATAACAATCCCAAATCTTAATTAATTCTTTTTTATAGATTCCAATAAGAATTATATTCTTACACAATTATGCATTTATTAAATTAAAAAAGGAAACAATATTAAAAGTATATTTAAATAACTATATGATTAAATAAAAAATTGTTACTGTTCCTTGAGATTCTTGATGTTTATTAAGTTTCTTTAATAATATTTTGATTGTTCAAAAGCAACAATAAACAAAAACTAATAACATTATTAAGATAGTAGATGCTCTGATATGAATGTTTATTTACAGGGAAATACTAAACTTCATTTTTATTTGTGATAGCTTGTCGAAACTGAAATTTGTAAATTTTGTAAATATTTTTTGGTAACATATAGGACTTAAACAATTGTAATGAAGATAGTAATTTATGAATTTTATTCATTTTATTTCAAGATTTTATCCTTTTATGTATGTATAACCACGGTACCTAACTGTTATGTTGTGTTTGCTACATTTAAAGACAATGTATAAAAATATATGTAATGTATTAATATTATAAATATGTATTCAAGTTTGGCTTCAAACATGCCTTCAGGCTAACCAGATGTTAGCATCGATAAATGCCATTTAGAACAGCAGACATGAAAATCCCTGGTATGTTCCTTCCACTTTAACATTAAGGCGACATCCTAAATGATACTTTCGTAATGTTATAATTAAAAACATGTATTTTTTCTACAAAATGACTCACCATGAGGGTAGGTTTGCGGCGTTGATCGGAGAGGCGAACAGTGTCCCAAATGTGAGCCGGTCAAGGCCACCAATAACACCACCCATAGCATACCCATCATTGTCACATTATTTGCACAACCGAATTATTTTTCGTTTCATTATTTATCGTTTTCATACATCACAACACAAAAAATACACGGTCCATGACGGGTTTGCACCGAACTAAAATTACTAATACACAATTCGTTAACCACCTTACAGATTATACTAATAGATCATGACAATGGGTCGAAATATTTTTTGCACTTAAAACTTAATTTTTCTAGTAAATTTCGTGCACATTTACAAAAAAATTGCGCAACCCGCAGCTGTACAGAACGCCATTTTTCTGAACCAGTGTTGCTTGCTGTATAATGCAAGATATATTTTGTTCAAGTTTAAGGCTACGTAGGCAACATTCAGTTTTATTTTCTGAAGGTTATAAAAACTTATAAATCGACAATCATTAGAAAAAGAAATCGTTAATGAAGAAAAAGTGCGTAACATAAAATAGATATAAATTATCAAAAATTATTAGCGTTTCAATTTCTATCTGTAGGACCATCGAGGATATTGATTTAGTGAAAAACTGATTGACCGTGAATATCAGTACTCAGTTCAGTACCAAACGTCAATGTCACTGAGTATTATAAAAATATCTGAAATACAAAAATTTGCCAAGACTTTCATAGTTCCAAACTATGATTCCAAATCTAAAAATATATCATAAAAATCTGTAATGCAGAGCAAAACAATAGTTCTTCCTGAAAATATTAAACGAATGCTCGTAAACATAACTTAAAATCATAATATAACCTTAAAACACATGTACGGTATTAGTGTATTGTTTAGTTACCGAGTAGCTAGTATTAGTAGTCGTTCGTATTCATCTGGTAGTTCTAAGAAGCTATTGGAAATTCTAGCCAATATGCCGAAAGCCAATTCAGAGAGGATAGCCTCCGCTCAGCGTCAAAGACAGCAGATTTCCAAGAAGGGGGAGAAGTATGGCCCCAGTACAGTATACTTACAGGTTCTAGGCTCTGGAGCCAAAGGAGCACCAAACACTTTGTACCTCTTCACAGACCAGAAAAGGTGAGCAGTTCTTTTTAAGGTAATTTAAGTGTGTCTTGTTTTGCTTAGGGTTATTATAAAGTTTTCCCTATGCTTTATTGAATCGGTCATAATTGAATTACGTATTTGTAATGTTTAATAATATAATGTATTGTTTAACTGAAATGCATTAAGTTTGGACTAATAACTGCTACATTTAACATTGTAATTATAAAATATTTGCTTGAATTTCATCATTACATTGCATCATATTATCATTTGTAGACAAAATGCATTTTCTGTATTAAACTAAAAATATTATAATGGTGATGAATTTCCAAGTGAAAATAACATAATTTTCATTGAAATAGTTATCTAATTTAAGCTTTTTTTGAAGTGTTAATGATTATCATTTACTCCCATTAAAGTTATTACTTAAATATCCTTAGTACTTAGATTATACTTTATATACATGTTTAAAGAAATATTTAATGTTCAGGTTCTCACATAATGTAAATCTTGTTACTCCCAAGATACAATATCTTTATAACAACAAGAACAAACTTCTAGAGTAACTTTAAGTTCTACCTTATCTTGTATGGAAATCCCATCAATTATCATTGCTAGGCATAACATGAGACACATAGTAGATATGATAAACAAACAAGATAGTGTGCCACTGGGCTTTATGTCTGGGTTTCAGATGTATCCTAAACAAGGACATCCCTGTAAACTTTAGCTGATTTGGAAGCATGTTAAAAAAGGCAACCCTACTCTACTGTATAGAGTTTCTTATTTCAGGGCTGCAAGATGTTCATGAAAGTCTTGTCTGATTCAATATAAAAAATATAATGTGTTGTGTGTATTTGATGTTAATAGTGTCCTCTTCATAGCCAAAAAACATACCCCATGTACTCTCTCTTTACTGCACTCCTACAATATTTGACATAAGACCATCTGAATTCCAGATACATGTTCAACTGCGGTGAATGTACTCAAAGATTGGCCCATGAACACAAGGTGAAGTTATCAAAGCTTGATCACATATTCATCACCAGTAAAACTTGGAAGAACATTGGTGGGCTACCAGGGTTGTCGCTCACACTGCAGGATGTTGGAGTACCTAATATTACGTTACACGGACCAGAGGGATTGGTATTATTATTTTTTAAATTAAAAAAAAGAAATTCATTTTGTTTATGCTGGAATACTAGAATTGTTCTAAGTCTAATTAAGCAAAGCTATAAAAGGCAATTGCAAAATATTAACAAATATTTCATTAATTTGTGTCCTTGATAAGAGCATTTTAAACTAAGGGGGTACGGCACTGGCCGCATCCCTTGCACAAGACAGACAAATTATGCCAATCTGTCACTTAATTTTCCAATAAAGAGACAGATTGCTGTTGTAAAAATAATAAAACAATATTTGTATCCGAAAAAACAAAAGTTATTACTTATTTCCAATTGGCTAGTATACCTAAGGTCATATCTGTCTTCATTGCTGCTTTACGCATTCAACTTTTTTTTAAAGCATCACTCACTTGGTGCACCTAAATAATTATAAATTGACATTCAACATGACAAAACTCCTGACTTCAAAATTTGGATAATTGGCACTCAACAACTGTTTGTTTTTGCACTTCCTTGGGGACCAAATTTTTGGACCATGAGACCAGTATGTCCATTGGCAATGCACTTTGTCTCTTATGTCTCTTGCGTTGACAGTAGTCACTTATCATACGGTGAGATGGATCACCTGAGGGCCTAATGTAAGTTTTTCAATAAAGAAACTCTGACTGGGCCTTCTGATGGTAACTTACTACCTTCTGATCAGCATAAAGCCACCAAATCAAAACTAATTCAGATCTTAAAAATATGCTGATTAAGAAGACATCTTGAAAAAAAAATTACACAATTACATTTAAATTCTTTAATTACTCATTCTGTTACTTAAAAATTCAATGTTTTTATAAAAACTGTGATTCATTTTGAAAGAGCCCCTATTTTTTTTTTAATTTAGGATGAATTGTACAATGCAACAAAGAGATTTGTCATAATGAAAGATATGAATATCACAATGGCCAAGTCTAGTCCAACAGAAGATTTCGAAGATAATGTCATGACAGTGAAATATGTTCTGTTGTAAGTATTTTTAATATTTACTTATTCAATATAGTACTATACCAATTGGCATCACAGAGTTTAAAAATGTGCACATAATTGAGAAAAAGAACTGATGTTAAACGGACCAAGATATAAATCTTGAAAAATGTGCTGGTGCATCTGTTATATATAAAAATATTGTAACAAAGCATTATTTATATTAATTTATTTACATTTGACTATCACTTTCCCTAGGACTAGTAAAAGCTCCCTTGGTCCCAGAAGCTGAGTAATCAGCTCTTCGTTGCCCTAGTGCATACTTTTATTTACACTAAGTGCTGAGGATTCGATCCTCACATGGGACAAAACTTTGTGTGATCCACAAATATTTGCTCTCGGTCTGGGTGTTCTTTGTGACAGTTTCGCCTGTATATTTTCGTAATGCGGGAGTTGTCTTTTTAAATAAAAAACAATATTAACTTCCATTAATCTTTTACTCTCCAGAGGTCCATTGGACAACCTCCTGAATGTGCAACCCCCAAAACCAGCAGGAGAGAAAAGTAAACATGAATTTACTACAGAGAAAGAATTTGAGGAATTTATTCATGATGACACAGATTATTACAATACGAACAAGAATGTTGTTAATCACAAAGAAAAGCAGAAGTACCAAAATATGATAAACTATACTGAAAGAGGTATTATTGCAAATCTTTTTATTAATTTAAAAAAGTTAAAAAGTAGCAAAGACAATTGAGACTTCATGACAAGACTAAAATCTTCTCTTTAAAAATACACCTGGTTTAGTTTTATTTCAATAAAGCTACTAGGTTTAAGATTACGAAAACTTTAATTTCAACTTTTTGCACAGGTTTTTGCACACTAATAACTTCAACTTTCCTTATTAAATTTGTAGTCCTTTATTGGATTCTTAATAACGTTATTGATTCTTTAATATTTTATAATATTTAATTATCCTAGATTTTACCTTCAGATGTCCTTTGTAAACAAGTGTCCCTCTAAATGTTTATTTTTTATTTTTTTAAGTGGACACCATGAAGTTTAAAGCTGAAAAATTTCTGAAAAACCTACAGAAACATGTCGACTGTTCTGTTGCCTATATCTGTACATTGAAGGTAAGGTTTTATTGATATTCTAAACTACTCCGTCCAAATTCGAGTTCGGGTCACTAATTATTATTTATACACCACAGTCTTTTGCAAAATGTAATAAATAAAGACACAAGAATTTGCATTGTCAATGCAAATTGTTGTGTCATTGGACATAGGTTTTTGACCTTCAGCAATATTATATAGAGTACACAATGTTTTAAATTAAACTTTGTGCCTTGTTGTGTAAACTGTCGAAATGACGTACTTTTTTTAAAAAAAAGCTGCGGTATTCATTCATCAATTACTCAGTAAGTCTTATTCATTATCAAAGACTCGTTCTAGCACTGTTTTTTTTTCAATATCATGGAAAATTTATGTTTAAATAAACCTACTACTGCGTTAGATGCACAATGACAGTTTTGACAGGACAGTCATTGTCTCAATTTTGAAAAAAAAAAATTAATAAAATAATTTTAAAATATTTCAAAATACTTTCTTTTTTGGATGGAAGTATAATACTATAAAATAATTTCATAGTCTTTTTAAATTGTTTGTTTAGATGGGCACGGATCTTGTTAGTCTATTCAGCAACTAATTTTATGTGGCTTAGTAAACTCTTCAAGAAACAGTTCTGATCAGTAAGAATTGTCAGACAATTTTGATCTTTTTGTGGTCAGGGAAAATTGCTTTTTTTATACAAACCTACACGGTTTGTATAAAAAGGTCCAAATGTATTGTTTGTTAATATGTTTTTTTATAATTCCAAATTTCATTCAGAAACGTCTCGGCACTCTCGACTTAGCGAAGTGTGTGGAGCTTGGAGTAAAACCCGGTCCGTTGTTAGGACAACTAAAGAGTGGCATGGATGTGGTATTGCCTAATGGGAATCTCGTACTGTCGAAGGATGTTAAGACGCCGGATGATCCGGGTCCTGTATTTATAGGTAAGTTTCTTTATGCTTGACTTGACTAAAAGAAAACATGAAACTACATAAATCTATACAAATACAACATCACGATTGTTTTACAATAATGTTTGTCCCGTCTCACAATGTCTTTGACCAACCATGTCAAAGGAAACCAGCTAAACATATACGAAAAAAATATATGTTTGTATGAGACTGACTCATGCGCTCGCACACGCTAGGAATGCCCACCGCGTATATTGCAGCCTCTCAGATAGCAACAGCCTGATGCAATTTATTATTTGTCCTTTTGTTTCTTCTAAATAATAACTTTATGTGACAATGTTATGATGACATGTTGTCTAAAAACCGATATCTATAGCTGTAAATGCTGTATCCTGTAAGATGTAGTTGTTCCCTGTATGCAACGGTATTACCTCTTTTTTTTATCCTATTTTCTTCTTCTCTTGCTATCTCCTTTAATAATTGAAAAAAAATTGCCTGCTGTTAGATTAATTTAGAAAATTATTTATTGTTAGTATTGGACGTACCACACCCGTCATACATTCAAGAGTCCGATTTCAAAGCTCACTTCGACAACGGGATCAACCCTCGAGAGAACATTCCCTCGCTTGTGGTACACTTCACACCACCTCACGTGTTTCATCACCCCGCGTAAGTTAATTTAAATTTATTTATTACTAGCTTTTTGCGACTCTGCCCGTGTGTATTTTGGTTATCGCGGTACAAATTAGCTTATGTTACTCGCTGATAATGTAGCTTTCCATTAGTGATTTCGATTCCATATTTTTTTAAATTGGTTACGTGGTTTAGGCGTAAGGGCCTAACAAAATAGACAAACGAAAACTCACTTTCACATCCATACTTATATTATAAACTAGCGTTTGCCCGTGGCTCCTCCCGCGTGTAGGTCGGTTACGCGGTAAAATGTAGCCTTTGTTTAATCTACATTATCAGCCAATAACAAAGGCAACAAAGTAAAAAATTTAAAATCGGACGTGAAACGTAACAAACAAACAAACTCACTTCCACATTTATAAGTCTGGATTACACAAAATGTGTTTGCGTTAATATACAGAGCAAAATAATGTTTTGATGTGTTTGTTTTTTTTTAATGGCTTTTGTGCATAACTTTTTTTGGTAATGTCGTGCCATTTGATAGATACGCGCTTTTAATATTATATGCAATAATAGTCGAACACTCTTCTACACAGGTACACCGCCTTAATCTCAAAATTCGGTCCAACTACTCAGCATCTTATTCTCAATGGAAAGAACTCGTGTCTCGGCTCGGAGGCTGTACATCGCACTCAACACAAGCTGCACCTCCTAGACCCTGACATATTTCCGCTACTCAGGGACGTGAGCGTCCCCGCCGTGTGGACCTCACAGTCACCTTTACCGAAAGCTGATAGCCCTATAAAAATGAAATGCTTAGAAGAACTAAAGAATAAGGTAAGGTTGTTATTTTTATTAAGGGTACACTTTCATCATAGTACAAATGGCTGCATATTGCTACTTTCTTGTATGAAACCACCAGGGGTCGGAAAAGATAAAATAAAATAGGAATGCATTAGAGGGTGAAGGAACTTAAATGTATATGTGAATATGGATATGCCTTTAAGATTTTATTATTTTTAATTGAATAAAAAACATGAATTGGAATTTTCACTGACTATATAAACTAAGCCGTCCATTGTTTAGAAATTTAAAAATACAACTAACTTTGATTACATTTTCTTTAAATTCCAATTTAATATTGCATTTATTCTAGTTGCCCGGAATAAGGTATGTCAATGTTAGAACATCATTATTCCGAAATGTAAAAATGATTACGAAAATGTAACACGCCTAAGTATTGTTTAATCAATGGTTTCAGTTATTTAGTAATCACTGTTTGTATAATTTGAGTTTCAATGCTGGGATTTGTGCAGTACTAAATACAGCTTATATATGTTCATATGGTAGTGTATATTTTCCTCCAGTTTGTGATCCTGACCTTACACATCCTTTACTAGTAAGTGAATATACTGGCATTCGATTTATATTAATTAGAAGCTTTTGCCTGCGGCTCCGTCCTCTTGTATGTAGGTGATCGTTGTAAATAGTAGTCTATGTTAGCTTTCTAGTGGTGAAAGAATTTTCAAAACCGGTTTAGGTGTAAAAGTTTCACGTTCAATTTCATATTAATTTTAACTTAAAAACGTAGGAAGTGATACTAACAGTAATGAAGAAGTACAATACGTTTACGTTAGAAGGTATAATAGTTTGATCTATGCCGGCAGACCAGGGTTTGTATGCATATGCCCACGTCCCGTTCCGTCTCTTTCTCCCTGTGGGTACATAATACGTAAATACTATTTTTACTTTTGACATAAAGAGCAGCTGAATTACTCTTTCAGATCAAAACTTTTATCGTAAATATCTGGCCTATGGTTTTTTTTCGTATATAGAGAAAGTTCTAATGCCTATTAGAAATAATTCGATTGTGTCAGCATAAATGTCTAGGTGTTGTTTGATTGATTGTATGGCAGTTGTTTTTGTCAGTGTATTTATTGTTTTTTTTATTACTTTAAACAAAAAAAATGAAAAAAAACAATTGAAGTTCAGAATGATAATGTAAATTGACTATTGCCCTTTTTGGTACGCTGTTCCTAGCATCCTTTATATATTATCGTAAATGTGTATTAAAAACTTGTATAAAATGTCTCTGGTGGTTTTTACTCTGGTGGCTTGTCTCTGGTGGTCACGGTGATATATTTACTAAGGTGGCATGCTCATTCCGCTCCCAGTAGGTGTAATTCCAAACAGGCATGTAGCTTAGCTTTGCATGTGGTGTTGTTGCGATGATTAATCGTCATTTATAGATAGCCTGCGCGCAGTTCCAGAATATTTTTAACCTGGAGGGATCAGTCAAAGGTGACGCCCCGCAGGCTCAGGAAAATGGCGATTCCCTGGTCAAGCAGGACCTGTTCGCTGGTAGAACCCTGACTATGTACCATTTGAGACCTAACAGACAGATAGACAGGTTTGTACATGGCAGTTTTTAAATTAAATAGTCCATATTTATGTTGTCAATTTCATTGTTTTTATTATTGATTGGTTTGTATTCTTATTTGTTGTCTGAGTAGAAAACATCTAAAATTGTGGTGGTAATCCTTTTCTTGCACTAATCTATTAGGTAAAGGAATTTTTGAAGATTTGATGATAAATTAGTGCTATTTAAAAAGAAGTGGTCAGTTAGAGGTTAAAATTTTAAACGTAATTCATTAAATGTACTAAATTAAGTTTATGTAATAAATTACGTTTTAAAATAAACCTTTTTTTATTGTTTGTTTTAACACTGATTTTGTAAAGAGAGTTTATTGAAGAATAACGTGATATTAAAGTTTTTGTACCATTACGCTATTACCATTCAGTCAGTTATTACACAATTATTGGCAAAGTTCAGAGAAAACCTGTTACTATTTTTTTATTTATTTCGCAACATATATAAAAATTCTTTATGTAGAAGGAGAAAAGTGACCGGTTTATATTAACCTATTTAATAAGAAATAAAAAACTTGAAATTCATATAATTTTATGTCTCAAAATTATTTAGAATTGCTAGTATGATGACCCAGAGTTTTAGCACTCTCTTGAAGGCTGCGGTTCAGACAACCCGAATTAAGAAAATTAAACCACGCTTATTATATCTTAAGCACTTATCACTGGCTTTCACCACCAGATCAGTGGAACCGAAACTCCACATACAAGACTACATCCAGGAGACTTTGGACGTTGGTGGGTTTGCCGGTAGCCTGGAGCAGTTCAGACGCGTCGTGGACGGCATAAGATATGCTAAGAGCGAGACTGTGGAGTATCCTAAAGTAGTATTCCTTGGTACTGGTTCCTGCATACCTAGTAAGACGAGAAATACGAGTGCCATTGTCATACATGTTGAGTGAGTATTAGTTCAGTAAAAAACATAATTATATACGTGATTTGGTTATTGAATTAGTTTGTTGTATGATTACTTGTACTTGTACATAGAAACACCCAGTCTTACCTAATTATCCTTAAAAGTATTAACGGTAAACGGGAATTGAACCTGCGACCTCTGACATGTCAATTAAGTGCGTTACTAGCACGCCATAAGTCGTCTTAAAAATAGTTGAATTACAATTGAACTATTTAAAAAAGTGCAGAAGTACCTTGAAGTCTGTTTTTCTTTTCTCACAACCATATTATCCTTTACTTCTTTATATTTTTACTGTATTAATATATTTGCACTGTATTATTTATTAAAATATGACTGTCTCAGTAGTGCAGTGGTAGCGTATGCGACTGCTGTGCTGAGGTCTCGGGCTCGATCCCCGGGTAAGACCCAATGTTTGTATGATCTGCAAATATTTGTTTTTGTAGTTTGGGTGTTTTTTATGTATGAAATGTATGTATTTACAAAAAAAAAGGTATATTATAAGTATTCTATCAGTCATACTAGCTTTCATAGTACAAGCTCTGCTTAGTTTGAAACTAGATGGCGTTGTGTGATATATATCCATGAATATTATTATTATTTCTTAAGCTTTGCACTGAACAAATATCATTTCTTCCTGTATGCAGTAGAAGTAAAAATAAAACATTTTCAGTGAATCCCGCTCCATTCTTTTGGATTGCGGTGAAGGCACCTACGGTCAAATGGTGCGCTTTTACGGACCGAAGAAGGTGAACGCTTTCCTCAAGACTCTGAAGGCTGTTTACGTATCTCACTTACACGCTGATCATCATATCGGTAAGTGTGTTGGAGGTTCAGACTTCCTGGTAACAACCAGAAGGTCACTTCTCGTCATAAAAATTAGTTCAAAATTCATTTCCGATCTATACTTGATCTCACAAATGTGATAAAAGGTATTCTCCTAGTAAATTATAACAACTAGCTTTTATCCGCGGCATCTCGGTCATCGCGGTAAAAACTAGCCTATGTCTTTCCTCTAGATTCTAAGTATGTTCATACGAAATTCCATCTAAATCGGTTCAGTAGTTTTTGATGCCCATGCAAACTTCATTTTTTCCTTTTCCCAAGGATGATTTATTGGATATAACCGTAAAAACAAAACTACCGTATGTCCTTTCCCGGGACTCGGACTATCTCTATAACAAATTTCATCGAAATCGGTTCAGCGATTTAAGCATGAAGATATAACGGATAGACAGACATACACACTTTTCGGCATTTATAATATTAGTATGGATATATATTTAAAGTATATTAGTATGGAATTAATAATAAAATTAATATGGATCCAACGTTGACTGTTTGACTGTTGATTAATTCGAAAGTGTGTGATTATATACTATTGTGACCTCAAGTTGGATCGGTATTCTACTGGTCTTAGTAATACTTTACTAAGGCACATTGTAAGATTGGATTCGAGCAGGTTACAGTTATTTTACTTTTTCTAGGTTTAATTGGTGTCCTTCAAGCCAGGCGGCAAGCATTCGAAGAGTCGTTAGAGGAACACCACGTGCCTGTGTTCCTGCTCGCCCCAGGGCAAATAGTTACCTGGCTAACTTTGTACGACAATCAGTTTGAGAACATCAAGGACAATTACACGCTTATACCTAACCAAAGTCTGGTGAGTTAAGATCAAATTAAAAGTTCATGGGCGGCTGTAGTTGCTTTCCTTTAGGTGACATGTCAGCTCGTTTGTCCCCTATTCAAAAAAAAATTAAACGTGTTGCGTTATATAAATCATGCGTACATATATATAATAAATGATTAATGAATACCGAACATTAATTAGAAGAGTATTAGGTTCTTTGGATCATCTGTTATTTTAGACGTTATATTTTGATCTGTACTGGGTTTTATACACTTGAACAGTTTACCCAGCACCGTTTGTAAGATTTACCACTAAAACTCCACTCGTTTAGGGGAGATCTTAAAAAAAAATCCTCTCCCCCGATTCTGGGGACTCAGGTGAACTAAGTGAAAGTTGCAGGTGAACTATCAGTTGATCCAGCTTCTCGTTTGACCCCTAATGCTATTAAGAAAAAAGTTTCAGAACATTACCGTTGATTCTAAGTTAAAAACAATTAAACTTGGGAAAAAAAATTAAGAGTTGAATTTATACCCACCAGCTGGAAGAGGCGGAGTCGTCGAGCGCAGAGCTGAGTGCGGCGGCGCTGGCCGCCATCGGCGTGCAGAGCGTGCGCACGTGCCGCGTGGCGCACTGCCCCAACGCCTTCGGTGTCGCCCTGCTCATCAACGGGGAAAAGATCACATACTCGGGGGACACGCTGCCGTGCGACGACCTGGTCAAACTTGGTAAGGACCTTCCTATTATTAACCTAAAGTTTTAAATAAAAAAAAGTTTTACACGGTGAGTACCAATCAGAAATCATTATAGTGGTGAATGCCCAGTATGGCAGTGGCCCTTGGGTAATAATTTGAAAAGTATATCAAAGGCAGGGAAAAATGTTGGGCAATTTTTTAGATGGATGATGCTATTAGTTTTGAATATTCACTGTAAACTACAGCTTTGAACATGACATTGAATTAGAACTTAGAACATAACGCGCGGTTGTAGATAGGCACAAGCATACAATAAATTTTCGATTAATATAATTTTATTTATTTATTTATTTTTAAAAAGACAACTCCCGCACTAGGAATAAAACCTGTGTCACGGGCGACTTTACAAACATACATGAAACGGACACAAAGAACACCCAGACTTAGAACAACAATTTGTGAATCACACAAAGTGTCGTCCCATGTGAGGATCGGACCCACAACACTCAGCGTAGTAGTAAGCGGCGTGATGACCGCTTAAACCACTACGCCATCCGTGCAGTCAAATTATATTATATTTATTTTTGCTATTGTATGGCTTTTTTGATTTATGACCTTATGGTCTAGTCTACGTAGAAGACAATTTCAAACAATTTTTTTTTTTAATGAAATAAAGATATTTTGAGTTTGAATGAAAATTGAATTTTTGAGTAGTCTTAATGAATGCTAACTTATACTAAACAAAAAAAAAGAGATGTTCTTTTTTATTGTATACAAACAGAAGTTAAAGAAGAAATCACTGAACTATCTTTGTCTGTTTATGCATATATATCTATATATATATTTCCCCAATTAAAGATAAAGGCGTTAGAAGAGAAGAATGAAAATACACTTCATATGTATCATATAAAGTTGTGTGACAGAGTACACTATAAGTTATTATTTGTCCCGTCAGGCGAAAACTCAACACTTCTAATCCACGAGGCGACGATGGAGGACGAGCTGGCGGACGAGGCCCGCACCAAGATGCACTCGACGACGACGCAGGCGATAGACATGGGGCGCCGCATGAACGCGCGCTTCACCGTCCTCACGCACTTCAGCCAGCGGTACGCGCGGCTGCCCCGCCTCAACGCCAACATACTCAACAACAACAACACCGTGGGCATCGCTTTTGACAACATGCAGGTCCGTTAACAACTTAACGTTGCTTTCAATCCCCCTACGTACCCACTAATTCTGGAGGGTACTTAAGTATCCATGGGCGGTGGTAGTCCCTTATCACAAAACCAACTTGTCCCTATACCTGTAAGAATTGGATTGATTCTCTGTAGTACCACCGTGTATGGATAACTAAATTGATGAGGCTCCTGTGACTGTTAAGAATCAGTGCGGGCGGTCCCTAAAAGTAATATACTGAGAAAGTGCCTAGTTAAAAGCACTCGCAAACGGTGAACGTGTTTTCGTACACTCGCCGTTTACTGATGAATATGGAAGAGACGCAAACTGTTTGTCATGGTCGATGTCAATTCCCAGACAATTCATCAACTGTTAAACTTTAACTCGCACAGACTGTATAAATCTCGTAAACATTTAAAATTTTAAATTAAAAAAAAAAAAAAAAAATTGGGAAAAGGGTAGGCAGATGATTTTAAATTTTAAATTTTTATCTAACCCAATACTCAGGTCGACCTCTTTAACAAAATCTAAATTAACAGTAATCTCCACCTAACATCACGCTTATATTCTATTTTTGTTAACCTCACAGATAACCATGAATGACCTGGAGCTACTTCCACACATGTATGCGCCTCTACAGCTGATGTTCGCTGACCATTGCGTCGAGATGGAACTTAAAGCTGCGCACCGACAGCTCCGAGAAAAGAGAGACCCGTCCCCAGGCGGTACTCACACGCCCAAGCGAATGAGGGACCTTAAAGACCGCACACATCACACAGGTGACAGTAGCCATGCCAACAAACGTTCGAAAAATCATAGTATGAAAACTGTTCAGACCGAAGCCTCCGCACATGCAACATCGGAAATACTCACACACGCACTCGAGGCTATCCAAAGTGAAGGGACACACACACACACAGACCAAAAAGCTGATGTGTCTAAAGACGATAATAGTGTTGAGGATAGTGTCAAAGCTAGCGGTAGTTAGTCGATTTTATGTTTTAGTTTGTTTTCATTTTTTTCTTTAATTGTGCCTTTAAGGGCGTATCCAGCCATCTCTATTTTTAAATAGGTAAGCTTGTTGCTTTATTTATTATATTGTCGACCTGATTGTTGTATAAGTAACAAGATTTTTCACTATATATTATCTGTAAGTAAGTAATGTACCTATAGTGCGACAAGGATCTTTTCATGCAAGAGGCTAAGAGAGGCGAGTTTCGCTTATTGGTTATTAGTAATACAATCTTGCTTCTTTGAAATAATAAGTCATGCATTAATTTTTATAGAAATATATAGTATAATAAACCAAATAGGCTTTCAAGCTTAATTATAAAAGCTCGAGTCGCTTTTGTCTGAATTAGAAGACAGATCCACTATTCAAGTAAAAGTAAAAAGTAGTATAAAAAGCGCTACTGCCGTTTGGGCAGCCGTTCGAAGTTCAAATTTTAACCAGGGGACCATAGATCCTTGTTTCACTATCCATTCGCTTTTTGATCGTTTCTGTCAAAAGCATTAGATAATTCAGAGTTTAAAAATAAAATGGGTATGCTCTTATTTACAGTTATTGCTACAGACAGATAGACTGGTTAAACTTGCATAGAATGCATTAGACTAATATAAAGTAATTTTAGTTATTTTTAAAGAAGTTGTAGCTATGTATGTTGTTGCTATAAATAAATAATGTAATGTTGTAATACTTTGTTTCATTAATATCATTCTTAGTACCTTTGTTTACCTTAATTTTTAGATCGTACAGTTAACCAAACTGGTTTCATATATGGGCTATGCGCCTACGGGTATAAAAACATACTGAGGTAACCTCCACATACAATAAACCATTAGTCATCTTATTGAGACCAGGTGGTAACAAAATACAACCACAAATATGCAAAATTTCTCTTAAAAAAGTTTGGATTGTCATTACTTTAAGTAGCTGGCACTTAAGAGTCTGGTGCGCTACAGTACTTCATAAAAAGTATGGGTTACACTCTAAACAGAACAGGTTACACTAATCGCCAGTTCCAAAAGAATTGCAGGCTCCACGTTTCCGTCATCGTTTCAATACCTTGGAGCGAAAATAAAATTTGGCACAAAATTACCATTACAGTCTGCTAGTACTGAATGTAATCACCTACCGCAGCGCTGCGCGATGCTATGTCTCCCTACTCTTAATCATTTTAATTGAACTACAGTTACCTATCGACTGCAGTTTGCAGTGTCTTATCTTGTACGTTTACATACTGTCTACGGCCAGAAGACATATTTTTTTCAGAGTATGTTAAATCTGGAATCCACTTTTAAACCCTCACAATCAAGCCATCGTGAGATCAGTAAAACTCTAAAGTAGGTCATTGATTGGTTCCAATATCTGTTCTAATCTCTTGTAGGCATTACTGGGAATAGCAGCACACCAGTGAATTTCAAGAGACACTCATCTCCATGTCGCACCATCATCTCCGCGCCTCCGGCTTCATTCAAAAAGGGTCCTGCTCCAAGTAAGAAAGAAATTAAACTGATTGATAACATATATCGTGCCATGCTATTATTTCATGGATTCTTATTTTGGTATAAGAACTAGGTAGTCTAAATCTAATAGAACTAAGTCTTAAATGGCCATTCAGGTATTTGTAATTCTCTACTTCGTAATTGCTTTGTATCCATAGACTACAATTTATGCAAGTGATAGACTTTTTTTAATTTCTAATATTTAAAAAAATGTCTTAAGTAGAGGAGAGGCTTATTCCCTACTTAAAAGAATTCAGATCGTAAGGAAACAAACTTTGGTGAGCCGTCTGTTCGTCTGCCCCCTCTAACATAAAAAAAATTCAATCATTTAAATTCTTGAAAACGCAAGGTCACCTGATGGCAAGTGACTACCGCAACCCATGGACACCTGCTGCAACTCAAGAGTCACAAGTGCTTTGCCGTCATTTGAGTCCTACCCTCCCCAGAAACTGGGGGAGGAGGGGTTAGAGCTCCGGTAACCTAACCTAAGATCTGTCGTGCCGATGACGATTATTATGCGCTTAGTTGTGTTGCAGTCACAACAGTACCGAACGAGTATAAACCACACTCACTCGATGTAAAGTAACGCAATAATTGGTAATCACCGGTTTTCTGTGAAGCCGTGGTATCACTATGACTCTCCTATAGTTAAATTTATTATCCACACATTATTAGTGGTTTATTGATGAGTAATGTTATCTATTGATAACGTTGCCATATGTTTGTATACAGAACAGAGGCGGGATTTGTCCCAGCCGCGGTCACGCTCGCGATCTCGAAGTCCAACTTACTTCAACACCACCGTACGAGGACCATTTCGTATGTAAATAGTTATCTAAATAGCTATCTAATAATCTTTTGCATAGGTATCCATTACTGCACTCCTATTTTCTTAAATTAAAAGGCTGACTAAGCCAAATATAAGAATTATAATTCAGTTGTTACATACCATCTTGTGAGCATCTTGTAAAATAACAGCGATTTTTACTAAAGACAATGAAGAATTGAAAAACCGTAGCTTGGCACATACAACTCTGAGTGGAAGAGGAAGATTAACCCTGATGGCAAATATTGCCAGTTGATTGGAAAGTCACAGAAAATATTTATATGTGAATACTTGAAGATTAATACAGACACTAAGTAGTGATTACCTACAGTCAATCTATATTTTGCAGTTTTGTCTAAAATTAGAGCGATTAAATTTTTCTTCCTTACCTTGTATACAATACAACATTGTTCGCTAGTCGGCGCATACAAAGTAGCAGGAACAGATAGTATTTACTAACATGCTCATATATATATATATAAAATAAAGAGTCTCTGCCCTATGTATTCTTGGTCTAGTCTCTAGATTACCTATACTTTTACTTATGCTTGCGGGCATCCCCTCGGATATCCCACCGAACGACCGATGGGGTGGTTATGTCGGACTCGCACCGACTAAAACCAAACACCGTTACCAAGATTACTAAGAACCCTTTTAAAGTGTGTCTTATTTTACTAAGTCCTTGAACAAATATATATATTTGTTTCCAGCTGTAGAACAGAAACACACGGATCATGTTTTACCACAGAAAATAAAACAGTTGACACAAAAGGCTACGCTGCAGAACCAAAATGTGTCTGGTATGTAAATGTAAACAACGTTAAAATCTTCGAATATTATTTTAACTTATAGAATTAATCTTAAAATCTTCTAAAATATAACTGTGTAATGACTCACCTGAAATTTTTCATTTTAAATGCTGGTGTCAGGGTCAGATGAAGGTAGTGAAGAACACCGCCTTTATTGAGCGTGTCGCAAGATTCTTTATAGTCTAGCTAAATAACCAGCAATGGCGAATAATAACCATTTTGTCGCTCTTTATAAAGCAAAACCTATTTAATATATTTTAGTCCACAAAATATTTTTTCCTGACCTTATTGTCTAGTGACAATTAGGTAAATACAATATAAACAAAGTTAAATGGTATACCTAGTTTTAAACAACAGTATTTTATAATAATTATTATTTAATTTTACAGGTCTAAGACAGGCTATCTTAGATAAAACCGTAGGAATTAAATCAAATAGGTCGAAGCCGGCGCCATCGGTACATGCGATTTTATCGCAACAGGCGAACTTTTCCAGTAATAGCAACAATGGAAGCACATGTCGTACGTACAGTTATTGAGTAAATAATACTCGTATATGCAGATTCACATATAGTTCTTGTAACACCAATCGGATTACAAAACTGTTCAAAAAATAATATTTAGTTGATTCCTGTTTTTCTACTAATAATATAATTTTAGTGTTACTTATTTGTTTTCGTATTAATTCGTAATTAATAATCGTAATTTTTGTAATAATCGTATTAATAATCGTAATTATTCGTGTCCTATGTAAAGAATGTTCCGAAGTCCTGCATACTCACAGGGCCCTCAAAAAGCCCCATTTATGGCTGTAGAAATAAACAATACAAACGAATCTGAGGATTCCTTACCAACAATATTACTTGAACATCTTACTAATTTATTAATTATAAAAAAGAATTAGGTCATTAAAAAGATTTTGAGGATATATTACAAGATTTACGCAGGATAGAAAATGGTTTTCCTCAGAATTACTGGTGTGTAACATCTAAATTTGTAAAAAAAAAATCGGGTCCTGTTGTTGTTAAAAAAGTGAACTTATATCACTTTTTTAACAACAACAGGACCCGAATTTTTTATACGCCTAAGGGACTGAAGATGGCCTTCGTAAAATTCAGCATCCCGAGGATTTATTCAGACCATGGGCAGCAGACAACTATTGTTTAAAAACCTATTAAACTAGGAATTCTTTAAAATTTTAAAAACAAATTCTAATTACAGAACTGAATCAAGAAATGAAGAGTAGAATGAGATCAGACACAATGAACAAGTCGCCTGTTGCTAAACAACCTCGAAGCCGAAGTTCTTCATTGACCCCAAGCAATAGGCGGAACCAGTCCCGTAAGTTAACCTTTCAATAGTTACTTTATTACTATTGTTACTGTAGTCACTGTAAGAGAACTTTTGAGTTAAATATTCTAGCTCAAGAGTTGTCTAGAAATTAAGGATACCTACGAGTCAAAAATATATAAGTATGTTTTTCAGCAGTCTGGTTATAATAGTATAGGCTCGTAATTTAAAATCAGACGGCCGCGTGTGAGATGCATTAATACACTTTACAGTTAAATACACTTTAAAAATTGAATTATCTATTGTATTGTTGTATGAATCCTAGCTTCGTGTGCTGTAATATTAAATATTTTGTAAATTTTGACTGTGATAGTTCATTTCCTAGCTGAGGCATACCTGTTTTGTTTATTATACATTGTTAATCCTTAAAAAACTAAACATATAGATGAAAAAAAACAACGGCTGCTGCTAGCCGTGGTTTCTAAAAAACAGTATTTGTTCGGAATAAGTTAAAAAAAAAAGTATTAGCAGGTAATAAATAATAAGGGGACATGTTCAAACTACACTGGAGAGCGATGAGTTCAGATCGGATTGAGAATGACTAGCCTGTATGAGTAGCTCGCACGCAGCCTGAACTTCAACCCGTTCGATCACGCTTAGGACGCCCTCGGATCGTGTGTAAGACGACGAAACCCTACCCTGATCACGCTTTGAGGTCTCAAAATTTATATAATAGAGATATGGGAGAATATACCCCAACATCGTATGTGAACAGAACAGTATGGTGTACAGCATGCTAAACCAGCACGGTATTGCTTGCTGAATTAAGTTGAGAAAACTGTGAACTTGTCGGAAAAAATATGGTGGTCAAATATTTTTATTTTAAGATGAGATTTGATTTTTTTATAAAAATATATATTGATCAACAATGACAAATAAATTTTATTACTTTCATTTATGGAGTATTTCATTATCTATTAAACTTATGATATTTTAGGTTACTAAGTTACCATTCTTTGCTTATGTGATCTGCCAGGATGTGTGTCGGACGGACGTGACCCGGATCAGGGCTCCCGTGTGTATTTGTACGTTTACTTTTTTATTTGATTTCCATTTTAGAGCCAAGATTCGAGAATGCGCCACATTTATCTAAACCGAGAGCACCATTGGACCGTACACCGGTAGGTAAGTATTTTTATGTAACAAACTGTAATAAATATAGTAAAAATATTCAGTCAAAGCAACGGTTGATATATAAATAATATTTCAATTATTACTTTTGACTAGATATTACTTTTCTTTACATAATCTTGTAATTTAAATAGTCGATAGTCGGTTGCCTTATTCGTTAACCCGTCTTTTTGCCGACAATTGACTACATGTGCTTTTAGTCAGTGCCGCTATGATTTCAACTATGTCACTAGCAAAAAGAAACGCAGCTCATTATCTTTATATTAATACACACACACAACAAATGCAAAAAAAAATGGCTCACGGAAACATGTGATATTTTTGTAGTACTGAATGTTACATGTACAAGAACTGTAGAAACAAAAAAAAATTAAACTATTTATGCCATAAAGTTCATTCGTTTGATGTCATGGTTTATAAATACGGACTGTCACCACCACTACTCATCCCGTGGATGTCGTAAGAGCCAACAAGGGAGGAGAAGAGAAAGAAAACTTGTCACAAACCTTATACCAACCCGTCTGGCCAGAGTGGTATAGTAGGCCAAAACCTCCTTTCTAAGGAGAGGTTCACCAGTGGACCAGTAAAGGCTGTTGATGTGATGATGATGTGCTTTACGTTTAAAAGTATATAAAGCGACTGCATAAAGCTATAGAGGTCCTGTAAATATTTTTATCTGTTATTTTAGAAATATCTGTACAATGGCAGTTCAAGTTAGGCTGGTCGTTGATTAACAAGACATTTAAAACGGCCAACATAAGACATCCAGGCGATCTCTAGTTATAATGAACTAGCGGCACCGCCCGTGTGTATGTCGGTTATCACAGTTTAAAGTAGCCTATGTCCTCTCCCAAGAATCAAACCATCTCCACACCAAATTTCATCTGAATAGATTTAGCGGTTATTGATTCCCCATACAAACATCCCCCCTCCTTTCACCCCTTTAAAAGATGATTTTTGGGATAAAAACTATCCTATCTTTTCCCGGGATTCAAACTATCTTTGTACCAAATTTCATCTAAATCGGTTGAGCTGTTTAAGCGTGAAGAGGTAACAGACAGACAGACAGATAGACAGATATAAGTATAGATGAATGAACATGTCGTTATTTCATATGTGCTTTTTTTTTCTTTTTTGGCGAAATCTAAACCTATTTCTTTTATCCACATATGTATAGATAGATACCTACTCCGTTTATTTTAAACCTGTTTAAGGTGTTGATGACATTTGATAGTAAATACCCATTAACTGTGAGACTGTATGTCAGAAGCGCACTGACTAAACTATTATAAAATATGTATTTACAGTATGACAAAACACAATGGTGGTAATCTCTATTTGTGCCGCTCAATATTTACAGCATCGATGTCTATGCAATCGACAGAACTTCTGGAGTGTGAGAATAATGGCTATGGTAAACCCCTAGTTACACCAATACATAAGAAGTTGGTCATCAGGAGAGATGGAGTACCTAATACTCCGATACGTGAGTTTCAAACATATACCTTTCGATATTTGGCAAAAAATGTAGTTTTAAATTTCTCGATCATTTGTATTTTAAAGGAAGAAACAGCAAAGTATTAACACCGTGCGTTCATCAACCAAGATCTCTGGCATCGCAAGGGTGTGAAAGATTACGTGAGTCACGAAATAAATATTTTTGCCTACGGCTAGACACGCTTATGTGCTAAATGTGTTGAGCTTCAGTTCTGCGAATAATTTACGACAGCCAATAAATGCCTAAGAAAAAGAAAACTGTCGTATGAAACCAATTCGATCTGAAAAATAAACCTGTCCGCGGTTTATTTAGCAAGTTGATTGAAGCAAGTAGCGTTTAACTGTCTAACTTTTTCACTCTAATTCCGGCGCGTGATTAGATTGCATTCAAGAATATATTGTGGTTAAACAGTTCGGTAATTATTTTATAAGGCAACAAAGTCGCGCAACTGTAGCACAACATTAGTTACGCGACAACTACCTTTCTACAAAAGTCAACCGATTCTATTTCAGTTAAAAAAATGTCTAGCAAAGAAATTGCTGCTGTAATACACCACATAATATATTGGCGAATAGCATACATCATGTCGATCATCAAACCAAAATGGAGGTGTTTGCTTTTCTCAATAATAGCACTTGGTGTTTTGTTTCGGACAGCTACCCAAGGCAAGCTATTCAAGAACAATCCCGTATGGAATAGTAGCTCGAACCTGAATACAGTTTCTAAAATCCCCGTGTTGAAAAATAACTACAAACTCAAAGGTATGTGTACTTATACATACTGCAATTATTTTGACTCGCTTTGGATGTAAGACCGACTATGCCTTGAGGATTAACAGTATGATGCTTTCACACGCTGTCATGCCTCCTCACACACGCTCAGAGTGTATGTGTGAGGAGGCATCATGTGCATATACTTTAAATTTTTATTATAAATGCTTTTAATAAGCATGAATATCAATTTTTGTAACATTTAACGATCTTTGTGTGACGGCCGCATTCATTACGTAAAAATTCTCGCCCTTTCCATATATCCGTAGCGATAAGATTTTATTTCCACCCGTCCCTACCGGTACTGATATTTTACCGAGTGTCCCCTGTTTCATAAATGCAAGTCAGTTTAGCGTAGAAGTATTTTTTTTATGTACATCAGTTGCGAATAATAAAGTGCTTTTGAATAACTTGTGAAAATGAATTTCTTAATAATTATGATGTAAAATCTTGCTGGTTCATTGCCGTTAAAAAGATATATTTATATATATATATAATGTACTAAATAATGCAATTTCACGAAAGGGGTTTTGGGATTGCCAAGAGCCAGGAGAAAGTGGTGTTTCTACTAAAAACCCACCTCGACCACTCTCGGGTGAGAACCAGGACTGTGATTTCAAAATCTGTCCCGAAATCAATACCTCGCTTATGCAAGCCCTCGGTCTGTCTAGGAAGCCGCAAGTTTTCCCCCACCAATCGGTGTAATCACTTTTAATATTAGATCTAGGCAGTAGTAGGCAGCAAAAATAGACATCAACTTTTCATATATCCCTACCGATGGGGATATGTCGATATGGATATATGGAATAGGCGATAGTTATGTTGTTTAGGAAGAAAGCTCTACGCTATATTCTTGCTACGTTTTACACCCGCCCGTCGGTTCCTTAATTAAACAGGGCCTGTACTATAGTAACCAGACTGCTGATAAACTACTTATATATTTGTAACTACATATGTATAATAGATAAATTCATCGCAGATAAAAAACAAAAGAATCGTCATCATATAATTATTTCCCTGCAATGATCACACGACTTTTACTTTAAGTCAGAGTTCTTTAACACGGATAAACACACATTACATTGTATTTGTAGGTAAATACATACACAGAAACACGCGGTCTGTACCCATACATACAATTAAACCTCGAATCATACTCGTTAACCCAGCGTAGTAGTCTCAAACCCACACTACGACTGCGCCACGGTGAATATGGCAATGAAAATTTATGTAGTAGGCAGGTGATGTTTAACATTAAATATTTGATTTCTTGTACAGCCTACAGCGCTTCTACAACATCTCAAAACATAGCTAAACCTAACGTTGGAGGCTCAACTGGGTCGTCAAAATGCGACGTCCACAAAGCCAGAGGTATAACAAGACTATTCTTAATAATTAAATATTATTTAATATTTGGTGAATAAGAACCGAGCCTGATTAGCAGCTGACAAGCAAACTTTATCAGTTTTTGTGGCGCACTATCTTAAATCTTTCAACCGTTTGCTGTAACAGAATAATAACTAATATGCCAGTAAAGCGAAAACAGTCATAAGACAGGTTGTACAGACAGACAATAAACGTATTGAAACTGAGCACGCTTCATTTATATGACATTATATCATATGTCCTAATGTCATATGAACTACACTATTCTGGTCCGTTTTTGAACTAATTGCTTTCTGCTTTTTGACGGACCCTTTTTCGGTTTGCCGCTCATCCAAGATAGTGATCGTTACTTCTTCACCCCATAGAACTTTGTAACAGCGCAGACTTTTAACAATACCAACCCACAGACAACAGCTACTTCTTTTCATAAAGTACGTAATTTTAAAGGTTCCGTGTTTAAAGTTTGATGATAATCTTTCAAACTTGAACACAGTCAAACTTTTGATGCAAGGGCGGCCATAGAATTGCACGACGCAGAGTGATTTTAAATAAAACTTTTTTGCAGAGTCTAGAACACTAATAACCAAAAATTTAAAGGACACCTCACAGGAGAATAAAAAACCGGTGTTGCCAGGTGAGTAATTTTTATCTCTTCTCTCAAAAAAGTGCGAATATAATAATATGGTCTAATTGAGTAAAGCGCCTCCTGTGGACGTAATGTTTTTATTTCTTTTTACAGTTCAAACTTCTGTTAGGAATCCAAGTAAATGTAATATACCCAAAACAAGTTTAGGTAAGTATTAAGACCATCGAGGACTCGAAACCTAATTTTAATACGTCATATAGACAATGTATATAGTTGTTTATTGTGTATCAAAAGGCAACTTTATTTACTCACGGTACCTTGCGTCTTGTTTCTAGATACGGTGAAAAAACCCGTGGGAAATACACCTCAAAGTTGCGAAGAAATGCGAGAAAAGTTACTAAGGAATATTGCTCCCACCCTACCAAATAGAACCAGTAAGTTTTATATATTAAAATGTTAATTAAAAATATACCTAATCACTAGCGAATTAAAAAAAATGCTATTCAATTCTGCCGTATTCCAACGTGTAAGGTAGTAAATAGATTCAAAATTATACGACAATTTATGAATCAGTAACTTTCTATACAGATACTAAAAGTACGAGTATAATGAAACTAAAGTTATTTCTTTAAACGCATTGATCTGAGGAACATTCGAAGTCGGAAAGTATTTTTATTATGTTATACCTAGATTAACGACTAAGGGAGCAAACTACGCAGGAGAACGGCACTGCAAAGAGAAGGGAAACTACTATACCAACTCGTCGGGCCAGTGTAGTATAGTAAGCCCAAACCTCATTTCTAAGGACTATTAAATGGCTGTTGATGATGATTCAGATTAACAAGATTAAGCTATCTTTTAACGTGGAAGAGCTATGCTTCGGCACAAATAGGCCTAGACGGCATAGGCGGGACACCTGACGGCACGTCACGTACAGCTCGTTGAGTCCCCCCACCAAAGTATCAGGGGGGTGTCCTCACTCACTCACTCACTCAGTAACAAACAACTAAAGACTTGCTTACACTACAGAAATAAGAAAAACTTTATTCCGTGAGTCACAAACACGATTTCAAAATATCAATACTTTAATATTCATCATCATCATCATCATCATCAACAGCCTTTAATAGTCCACTGCTGGACATAAGCCTCTCCTTAGAAAGGAGGTTTTGGCCTACTATACCACGCTGGCCAGACGGGTTGGTATAGGGTTTGTGTCAAGTTTTCCTTCTCTCTACATTGCTGTTGTTCTGCGTAGTTTTCTCCCTTAGTCGTCTCTTACGACACCCACGGGATGAATAGGGGTGGTGACACTCTGTATTCTTGATCCGTCACCACACGGACTAAATATTAATATTCATAAATATTCATAATTCCGAATGGTTCAAATTCCTAATATAACAACTCCTATTTATCATTCATCATATTTTATAATTCAACCATTTCAATATTCCTAACGTTTATAATTATTACTATGTTTAAAATACCGAGTTTCAATAGATCGAATAACGAAATGTCCGATACTCAATTATAATTCGAATCATCAAAAATTTAAATGCCGATTATTTAAACACAATGATAGTTTTCATTCGAATAAAAATATTTTCCTTCGCTGGTGACAGTTCTAACCTAACCGAAATGTTTCACCAACAAAGGGGAGATCTGGCGTAAGTCATTGTTCTGTCCTAACCCAAAGAATTCAATAACAGTAGATGTTATCCGACGCAGTTTTGAGTGGAACTGAATTTTGATCGAACTTCTATTACGAGAATTAGGCTTTAATTTTCCGTGAAGCCGTATTATCACTCCGATAGAGCCGGTCCATTTCTGCTAAAGCATGGCTTCGCCCACGCCTAAAACATACAACATAACAGTGTAGGTAAGAGAAAATAGATAAGAAACCATAGAAACTTGGATTTTTTCTTTTTCAATAAATAAAAAATCAAGAAAAAAATTGAGCACACTATTAAGGATTGTGCTCTATCTTCCTTAAAGGAAAGTTGAATAAATTATTAATTTTACTATTAATACTTATTACAGCGATTATGCATAGCAGTATTAAAAATTACAAGCCTCAATTAGAAGATATCAAGAGTTCATATTTGTTATTGAACAAACACGGACAAGCTGCTCAATTAAAAACCGGTATGGGTCTTATATGGGTCTTATTTATTTCTTATATTTTTATTTTTTTTAATATATTTAGAATTTCATTATGAACTTAACTGAAAGTGAGATCAAAAGTTTTTTTTTAATACATTTCTTATTACGGTACATGCGATAACACTCGTAACGTAAAACTGTATTATATTATAAAACTTGAGACACAGCGACACTTTTTAAAGACATTTTACTACTATGAAGGTTTTAAGTGTTTGTATTTATTTCAGGTAAAACACGACTGTCAACAAACGCAGTACTACGTACGTTGTTTATTTTTATTGTTATTTGTAATACTTAAATAAAGGTAGAACGAATAGTGCATTATATAAAGGACCAGGAGAATAGTGTTCGCAATGTGTTGTCAAAGTTTTCAATTAATAATACTATAATGAAAAAAAAAACTTAATTATAGCAGCAATATGACAATATTATTATCGTTGTAATATGTACCTTAGTACATTCTTACTAAAGACCTATCTCATTTGGGAACACACAAGCTTCTCCTACATTGTTTACAACGGGTCGTTTACAATAACTCCTTTTTGCATTAGAAGTTATTTATACATCTAAAATGGAAGAAATAGTAAGCAGTTTCGTCTAGCTTTAAATTTTAATGTTTTATACATAGACTGGGACTTTGGTGACGTGAATAAAAAAAATTGTTATGTCCATGATTGATCTGTTATTTTTTTTGACACAGGAGAAAACAAAGCGCGTCTGCCAAAACTCTCAAAACCGATTCCCCTCAACGAAGAATTAAGACAGAAGCAACTGCTGGAAGCAAAATCTAAATTCTCTAGTAAGAGATTTCTCAGTGATTCAAGTAAGTTTAAAACTTAAACAGAAAGGAAGTAAAATAATGAAAAATGTAATACTAAAAATGAATGTTTAAATTCCAGAATATGACAAAATAGAGGGTCTGAACTGGATAACTTGGAAATAAAAACTATTTAGTTCTTAGAACAATGTATAAATTAATAAATTTATAGTGTTAGTAAACACTACAGTGTAAAGTCTAATGTTTAAGTTTACGAGCAAGAGAATCAATAAAAAAATTGAAAAATCAAATGGAGTTTTCTTCAGACTTCAATGTTTATCTTTTGTTATCTATAATCATCGTACTTATCATTCCTTGGGAAATGATCTCGTATCACTTTACTGCGGAAATCACCCTTCGACCAACCGACTAAGCGCCGGCGCTGACTGACGCGGCACCACGGCACGGCATTTTATTTCCGATGAAGTTCTTTGTATCGTAATTTCAATGAGTTTAGAATTTATATAACGTTATGCGTCGTTTCCTCTACTATAATATGCATGTATTATACATATAAGCCTGTTTCTTGAATCACTCTCTTTATTACTGAAAACCGCGTAAATCCGTTGCGTAGTTTGAAAGATCTAAGCGTACAAGAAAAAAAAGCGACTTCATTTTTTACTATGTAAAGATGCAAAGCTTATAACTAAACGTTTGCAGTTGTTGTTGTACGGTCGGACACCGATCAACAGATGTCAATTAGACATAATAAATATATATTAATCATTCAAATTGAAAAAAAATCATTTTCATTTCAATATGTCTTTGCTGACCCCTTGAAAATGTTGCCTGTGTGTGATGCACGCTCTGCACACCCGTACCCGGCGGGCACAGTAAAGTAGGCAAGGCTCAAACTCTCAAGACAAAACATTCGATTTTTAAGAAAGTATTATATTATATATTACTAGCTGGTACCCGCGACTTCGTTCGCGTAGAATGTAAAAAGCACTGCCTTAGTAGTTCGATGCCTGATGGACCTGGCAAAATTTTATAGGGTTTTTCTGAGAGCCACAAATCGCTATAAAATTAAATTTAAAATTTAAAAACCTCCGACACATCTTGAATTTAAAATTTGTCATAGTGTATAGTATTCTACTAGTCGGGCCCTTTCATTTGATACCCATATTGAGGAAATTGAGAAAAAATATATAATTCGCCATTTGGTGGCGGGGGCCATCTTGGACCGATTTTCATCAAACATAGCTAAGAACACTCCCGACTAATTCACCTTTCAAACAAAACAGAGTCAGAGTATCAGAGTCGGTTTATTCGTCCGGGAGCTACGATTCCACAGACAGACACACATATACACACAAGCACTGGAAACTTATAACAGCCCGTCGTTTTTTCATCAGGGGTTAAAAATATCCTTAATCACTCCTTAAATAGACAGCTACCTGGTAGTAAAATATTTTCAAAATCAGTCAAGCCGTTTTAAAGATTACCTGGAACTAACAGACAGACAAACAAAAAATATTGATACTGGTTTTAGGCATAGGTAATAACCTGCAAATAATCGTGCAAGTATCAATGATATATAAATAATTATAATATGTCTTATAATATGTGTATGATATATAAACAATTATATATTATAATATGTCATTGGCAAGTATGAAAAAAAATATTATTTTGACATTACAAACGGACACTTCAATTTTATTTATTTGTATTGCTGACAATATAATGTCAAATAATGGCGGTAAAAAGTTATCCATGCTTCTGGTCTTAAACTGAAAATCATTGCCACATCTATTTATATTTGAAATTTATAGTAAAGGTTAAATACTTTAACTCTAGTGCTATTGACTTGATTTTTGGTTCAGTATTTTTTATATATTACAGTATTATTTATTGTTTAGTATTTATTTATTATAGTATATTAAAGTATCACCAATATACAAATCTGATAATAAGGGCAACGTTACAAAATATAGACCAATCTGTATTTTAAGCTGGCTTGCTACAATATTTGAAGGTTTTATCTATCACCATATTTATAACCACCTCAGACATGTATTAAGTCCAAGACAACATGGGTTTACAACAGGCAGATACATAACACTGCTAACCTTTTGTGTTACACAAGCTATATATATCTGAAGCTTTTAATAATAAGAAACAAGAGGATACTATCCATACCGACTACTCAAAAGCATTCGATCGGGTTAACCATTTTATACTACTCTCCAAGGCCCAACATCTTGGTATACACGCATGGGCATCAGATGGCAGATGGCTAACATCATATTTAGAAAACCGCAGCCTGGTTGTGGCGCTTAGTGGATATGAGTCTGTGCCATTTTTTGCATCGTCTGGGGTGCCACAGGGTTCGAATCTGGGTCATTATTGTTCCTTTTATTTGTAAATGACTTGCTGATTAAAATTAATAGCGAATGTTGGCCTATGCTGATGACATAAAAATATTTAGGACCGTTTCTAATCGTCAAGATTGTAAAGCCCCACAATCAGAAATAAATACGATTGTGCAGTGGTGAGGCAGAAAAAGTTGAGATAATTCGTGATTTATTGGTAATCTTTGACTCCGTTATGTCCTTCAGACTCACTATGCTCACATATGCAATAAAACAAATCGTATGTTGACCTTTGTGCTTCGTATTGCAAAACCGTTTAAGCGGGTTAAGTCATTAATAACTTTATATGAGTAGGAGTAAGTGAGTTGCGTCTGCCACTACTGCAGTGCAGTTTGCGTAGCGTAGCGTCGGGCGCTCATTGCAGTCATCGGAGAGTTTTTGCTACGAGCCGTTACACGTTACGTGGCTTGCGCGTCTTCCAGCGCCTCATACCGCCTTGAGTGTGGTCTCAAGTGGACGGTGAACCTCGGAAGGGGTCAACTCAGGGAGGCACGCATTGGCATCGGGTCACCGCTGAGGTATCTGGGGCTCATACTGGGTCGGGATCGTGGGATTCGAGAAATCGGGGACCTGAAATCCCAACTCTGCCGGGTCCACGTGGAGGACTGGAGGGAAAGACTTGGGCAACCAAGCCATTATAACTAAGTCTAAATATTGTGCTGATGGAGAACTCACTGAGGTTATCTTATTATCTTTTCGATCTTAACCTCATTAAGACGGTTTTAAGAACCATCACGGCGAACCCTAAACTGACACATATTCACAAGTGTAAGGGCATGTTCACATAACAGGTCCTAGAAACCTGTGAACACATGAACAGATTTAGGTATCATTAAAACCTTACCTACATCATCCGGTACAGAGTAAATAAATAAATAAATATTTCGTCCACCCGACACAACGCCGTCTAGTTGTAAACTAAGCAGATACTATGAAAGTTAGATTGACTGATAGAATAAAAAAAACAATATTAAAGGAGAAATATTCACATATAACCAACTATATAGTACATAATGTAGTATGACGAATATAAGTATGTTAAACCTAGATCTTTGCAACAAAACTATATACTACACGACAGCCGTTCATATTTGTATTAAACATATCTTTTCGCTTTTAATACTATGAATAAAATACATAGCGATTTGGGTTTATTTATATAATTTTTAGCCTGCATTTACAAGAATGTTGACTTTTTAATCAAAGAGTTTACTAGCATTACGTAACTGCTTCCGGTTTTCACAATATGGTAACACAGAAATTGATTGTCAGTCCGGGAATGAATATTTCAGAAAAAAAAATTATACGCTCAAGTTAAAATTCTATGTAATCATGGCTTTTGGTGATTACCCTAAGGAATATGATCCTGCTACTCATGGACCTTATGATCCAGCACGTTATTATGGCAAACGTAAGATAAATTTTTACATTTTTAAAATTAATGTTTTTGACACTGAAATATTATACTTCTTACAGCTGATACTCCATTCGGTGATGTGAAACTGAAAGACCTCTTAGCTTGGTTGGGTCGCAGAAATAGAAGCCCTTCTGCTATGCTTGGCGCTTGTAGCCGAGGTATGATTTCCATAAATAAAACGGTACAAAGTATTAATATATGGCAAGTGAGAAGTTAAAACGGTTAACATACGAAACATAATAACGTAATTTTATTTGAAAATGTATTGAACTATATCTTAATACTCGATATGATGTGATATGATATCCTAGCCAGATCTTTTAAAAACTAATTTATATAACGTGAGCTGACGACAACACAAAACGATATTTTGGCTGAAATATCTTCCAAAAGTGAAATAATGATAAGTAAAAGCTTCTATTTTGGAACGAAGTTCCTTATCGCGCGTTACACGCTCTGAGCTCATGGTAGCGAGACCGTAAAATGTGTAACAAAACTTTTTTCCGACACTAAACGGCTAATGTCTATCAAAAAGCGAAAGGAACTTCGTTCCGACTGGGGGTCCATAGACCCCTCACGTCGTTTTTTTATTATAGACAGGGCAAACGAACAGACGGGTCACCTGATGGTGCCGTTGGACACATGCAACAAAAAATTTCACAAGAGACTTATTTTTATACTTTGCTCTTCTCAACTAGAATTATTTGGTGAGTTGGAAAGTACACTCAAAATAATGGATCCATAAAGGTATTTGCTTCGCTCCTTATTATACATACAAGTCATAGGAAAACTATAGGTACTTCAGCACGTTTGGGCAGACTCGACCTCGGTCTCGCAAAAAAACTAGTGTTGTAATTCACAATACAATTTTACCGAGTGAGGCTACCGAAGCCCAACTCCCCTCCCCCTGATTTTGTCATCCTTGAGCTACAGGTGTACATGGGCACTTTTGATTTAAAGCACCCGCTGGTACTGCTACTCAGCTACTGGCTGATACCATCGGGGTGTTCGCACCGCTCCTTTCTAAGGCAGTGTCAGAGTCCAACACTGCCTGAGGTCTCTGCTCGTCCATTTGGTCGCCGAAATAACCCTTCGCAACAGGCGGGTTCGGCAGTGGTTTCTTCCGTCAGAATAATGTTGGGAGCTGCTTGAGCCAAACTTTTATTATTTTGCTACATTACTTTTCTTGGTTCGGGTCACAAACCCAGAGGTTTTGATTACTTATCCTATCTTCCTACAGCATGGTGGAGATGGCAACACAAATACATGCAGCCCAGGAAAGTTGGCAGTGCTCCTTTCTTTCAATTATTAGTAGGCTGCATGACTTTCTTTTATTTTATCAACTATGGCAAAATAAGTAAGTATATATATATATATATTATATATACGTAGGTAAATTTTTCCCTGTCGTATGTGTAATTAGAATAAAAATCGCAATCGTAAGATTATATCGAAATATAAACTTTTAGCGCTGCTATAGGTAATAGATCCTTTTGATAAGAATAATTCCTAAATGCATTGTTTTCGAATGGCTATATTGGGTTAAGCGACGCACGCGACTAAGCTCGCAATGTGAATGATTTCGTTCTATATTTTCATCTTCGACATATTTATACAAAACCTCACAAGTAAAAATTGAATGGAAATCAGTTCGGTAATTTTAGTTTTCACGTTTTAGTCGGATAGACGGTGACTGTTTCACAGCTTGTAGTTATATACTGGGTCTACCAATAGGGATGACCTGGTTTTAACAGCTCATAGCGGCCATGTTTGATGATAGATCTTTGACGTCTCTTGACATTTGTGTTCAGTAAGGTTTGCCATTTTATCATGTCACGTTTCACTTTAAACCAACGCTTGGAAATTGTCCAAAATTATTACGAAAGTGACGAAGGAAACCCTGTTACTGTGAATGGCGAGCGCTATAACTCGATGTAAACCGAATATTTCTTTCCGGAATTTGATGATATTGATGCAGACGATCTTTATTTTCAACAAGACGGTGCACCACCTCACATTACTCGAGTGAACATGGAATTATTGCGTGGCAAGTTTGGTGAGTCGTTAATTTCGAGAAATGGACCGATCAGTTGGCCACCAAGATCGTGTGATTTAACACCTTTAGACTATTTTCTTTGGGGTTACGTTAAATCTAAAGTGTACAGCAATAATCCAGCTACAATTCGTGACCTAAAAACCAACATTCGACGAGCCATAGCCGACATACCGGCCGAAATGGTGCACCGCGTCATCAAAAATGGGCGTGAGCGGGTCACCGTCTGCAAAAAGAGCCGCGGTGGTCATTTGGCCGATATATTATTTAAAACATAAATTGCATAAAATTATCTATCAAATAAATCAATCGGATGCATTTTTCATAAAAAATTGTGTGTTTTATTCAATTTTTAAACCAGGACGTTTTTATTGGTAGACCCCATATGTATAATTATGTTTTAAAGAAGAAAGTTACCTACCCCAAACCTAATCATACCATCTACTTACTAACATAAAGGCCTAAATAATTTGCATCCACGTCTATTTGAGTAGTCAATTAATATCTGCAAGCACTAGCTAAAAGACGGTATTTAATCTAAAGACGCAAACCTGCTCACATGAGTAGGTTTGCGTCTTTAGATTATATAGATAGATAACACTACATATATTTTATATCCCACAATCATTTAGATCAATGTTATTCAATTTTAATATTTGCATAGCTAAATTTTATGCTTAGCATTATTTACATAGCATAGCATTTTCAATACTTCTCACTCAAATAATCTGGTTGGGACTGTATTTTATTTCTTAATACTTTCTGCAAATACATTGCATAAAGCGGACTTAATACCGTATGAATTTCCCCCCAGTCATTTATTATTACGTTTGCAAAAAAGATATTTTCACCTGATAACATTTCGTTGTAGTAGAATAGATGTGTGGAGCTATACTCAACATTAAGTGTGTTTATAAAGTATGCTAGAAGACATTTTTGCGACTATATACCCCCAAAAAAATTATGTACTTTGAATACTAGGCAAGGCCACCTAGCTTAAAGTATTTGCCGATTTTGCACATAGCAAAAGTTATTTTGAGTTAAGGATGATTTCTTTGATTATGCTGTAAATCATCAATCTAAAGTTTTCTTTTCCTCCTCTATGTTTAATGATTTTTTTCTTCTTATAATGCAATAGCCAACAATACTACGTCAATTTTAACCATATTCAAAAACACGTCAACACGAATAAATGCATCAATAGAAATGATTATGAAACTATTTCACTAGACTCAGGAACGAATACATTCCGTACGCTCGCTCGCTTGCGGCTGTTCAGTTTAGCGGGTGGAGCGGAAAACCAGTCCCGTCCACGCAAGACCAGACTCAGGGCGGCATCAGGCGCTGGAATTCGACCCTCCGTTCCGCGTTCACCGGTGGTGAATTGGACCCGAGTTGAGATCTTTCCGGGCCCTTTTCGCAGCCTCCTGCCACAAGGTGTCGTCCTCGCAGAAGGATCCGACCGTGGTAAAAAATCTGTTAGTACCGGTCATGGAGCATAATTACTACCGGTAACGAGCTTCCCTTCAATGACTGCAGTGAGAACCTGACGCTGCGCCCCCAAACGGAGCAAAACGTCAATGAGTGCTGAGCTGATTCCTCACTGCAGTCGCAGTATGACAGGTGGGACTCACCTGCGTCAATGTGAAGAAAAGAATCTCGTGATGCCGCCTGGCCCAATCGACGATGACTGGCTTGAGAGCCTCCAAGCGGAGAAGCTAGCACGTGGGGCCACCAGCGGGGACGACCAACGAGTATTCGTGGTTCGGCGAGCGGCCTCAGCCACTTCCGCACGTCGTCGGGCGGGGAACGACTACCGCCACCCGCCCAAAACTCAGTCGTCCGCCAATAAACTTTGGCAATCACTTCTGCCTCCTAATCCCAAGGGGCAGTTCCGGCAAACCGCCTCCGTCGACCCGATTCGCGTTACGTTAACAAGCAACCAAAACCATAGCAATCATTCGCAGTTTTATAGAATTATTTTTAGGTCTAGCAGATTTGAAGTATGTCACAACACAGGACATTTTAATAAGAGGTTTGGCAAATGATTTGTATGACTTTTATGGAATAATTTATATTTCAGAGCACCACAGGAACTACAAATACCACTAATCTGGAAGATACAATAGATATAATTTATTTTTACTAATGCATGTTTTGCAAGAGCCGAAGATTAGTTATTAACAGCAGTTTAAATAAACAAAATTAATTAAGTGAATCTGTAACTTTATTTTAATTTGTGCAACTGGTAATGTTGTCGATGGATGTCGTTATCAATTAGGCCAGAAAGGATGAAATATGGCACAGAGTTGGATTATACCACATAAGCTAGTTTTTATATTGGAAAAATTCATTGACAAAAGCCACAGACACAAACTAGCATAATTTACATAATACAAGCAATGTACGGCGACAACACACGACTGCACGGATGGCGTAGTGGTTTAAGTGGTCGCCACGCCGCTTACTACTACGCTGAGTGTTGTGGGTCCGATCCCCACGTGGGACGACACATTGTGTGATCCACAAATTGTTGTTCTAAATCTGGGTGATCTTTGTGTCCGTTTCATGTATGTTTGTAAGTCAAGTTATCAATTCGTCTGTACTTTTTTTTTTAGAACTTTTAGTGGCAACACTTGTTTTTATCATCCTAAGGAAAAAATTATAATTTCCATGATTTTTGTTTATTGCAAGTACCTGATAGTTGTCATCTCAAAATGATTAACAGTAAAATATTTAACTAAAAATGAATGGTTTTTATTTTCAGACCATTTTCAAAAAAAATGTGCACATTTTAATAAATGCTTATGTTGAGATGTGCCCATTTTGCAGAATGTTCCCTTTAACCTTTAGTCACATAAAGTCCACTGAATCAAAATGACCACTTTAAAACATCCATTTAACAAAATGACATTTTACCAAATGGTATGGTCTATTTATTAAAATGTCCACTTACATCCACTTACAAACATAAAAACTTGAAATAAAAAAATCACATTGTGAGTGTGGACTTTATAATATCGTGGATTTTATAATAATATGTGGACATTATAATGTCTTGGACTTTTTGATACTGTGGACATTTTGATACAGTTGACACTTTCATTCAGTGGACTTTGTGACTATAGGCCGTTTAAGATGTACACCTACTGAAAAGTGCACCTTTTTTATTCTGTGGACATTGTGTATGAGTGTATGCACTGAGCGAATATTAAAGACTGAGGAACAAAGTTTTTAAATTCTGAATGATGTAGGCACAATGAAGATGGTGATACATTTTTCAAATTAATAAAGGAGCAATAAAATATGTAATTGTTTAGTTTTGCTGCAATTACAGAAAACTTCAATGGAGAAAAACATATATTCTTTTACTTCTACTATATTTCAATCTTATAATAGAATTAAATGTTTCAGAATTTGAAAATTCACATAATCAAAATTAGGAACAAATCTGGTTTTCTAAATGAACAGTTTTAAATGAACACAACTTAAGGTTATTTTTCAAAAAAATCTGTAATTTATACATTTAATTTATTCTAACATTATAAGTTTATATAGTATAAAGAAGTAATTAAAACATTTGGACAGTGTATAGCCATTCTACTTGTTTTCTTTAGAAGTGGAGCTGCCCTTGCGATCTTTATCTTTTTGCTCTTTGTCATCCTTCTCATCTTTATCTTTCTTGATGGTGGACATAGCATTGCGGATTGCTTCACTCTGTGGATCAACACCAGGCAAATTTTCCAAAACACTTTGGAGGAATGCAGGATCATTCATAACTTCAGCATATTCTTCTGCAACATCCATGCTTTCTTCTGCTGCTGGAGCCTCCTGTTGCATACTCATTTGCATGGCCAGAGCAATCTGCTCTTCCTCAGACATTTCCATAGCTTCTTGACCAAGTGACATGGCTAATGCCCGTTCCATACCACTGTTCTGTGTTTCACCAGTTTTTCCAGCTTCCCCTTCAGTGCTACCTTGTTGGCGACGCGATTCCTCCTCCTGGCGCTGTCTCTGTTCTTCCATAGACACGCGCAGAGCAAGAGCAAGTTCTGGATCTTCGTTAGGATCAACTCCAAATTCAAATGGCGATAAACCAGACCCAGAAGGACCTGCACCATCACCACCAATTAATGGGCTGGTAATTAAAGCCTCTGACAATACAACACATCCACCAGCAGGCACTGATACAAGGTGGCTTCCTCCACTATTGTTATCCTTGCCGTTTAAAGTGTTAACAAATGAGGTCAGGAGGGGATTATTATCAGCATCTTCTCCAAATGAGACTACATCACAGGTTACTTTCTCTTTCTTGAGTCTCTTAGCAAGTTTTACTAATTCTTTCTCATCAGAGTCAACAGGAGAGCCAACAAAGACGACGATACGCATCTTGTGGTTCTTACCCTGACGATGCTTAAGCGCCAAGTGCGCTATTCTAATACCAGTCAAAAGGTTGATGTTACCATTGGGTTGGATCCGGTGTAACTTAGACATAATTCGTCCCACGTCGCTCGTTAAAGTGGCTAGTACTTCAACATTAGCAAGAGTCAATAAACCGACATTATTTTCGGGATTAGATCGTGTTTTGGAATGACATACCAGGTTTACAGCATCTTGCTGTGCCTGAAGCCTCGTAGGTAGAAAATCTCCATTCCTCATATAATCACTGTTGTCTACACAAATCATAGTACTTTCTAAAACCATTTTGAAGTATTATTTTATAACTTTATATGAATATAATAATTGTGACGACTTCACAAAGATCGAAATTTGCTGTATAATCATAGACTATATAATTTTGATTATTTGATGTACAGACAAAACTTCTGCACAGATAAAGTAAGCCTAGGCCTTTGAAAATGACTCTTCACAATTATTTGCATATCCTTTTGAAAGCTAAGTTAATTATTTATAAGGCAAAAATATACCCTATCATTATTTTCTTACAAAATATTTGCATATAAAAGTGTGAATTTGTGATTTGAAAAAAATGTAATGAACCAATTGTCTATGGTAATAATGAAAACTTCTTTCTTTATCTAGTGTTAGCTTCTGGAATCCTTCTGCTACCGTTAGACTGAATTAATTAATGCCGATACCTGACTTTTTCATTTTCTTCTTGATAACATCTCTCAATCATTTTGAAAAATGTATTCATTTGAAATAGACATTATAGTGGGCGGCCATAAGTTTAGACATTAAATGTAAAGAATGTCGGCGTTTACACAATGTATCTTCTATATATCTATACTAATATTATAAAGCTGAAGAGTTTGTTTGTTTGTTTGAACGCGCTAATCTCAGGAACTACTGGTCCGATTTTATAAATTCTTTCAGTGTTAGATAGCCCATCTATCGAGGAAGGGTATAGGCTATATATCATCACGCTAAGACCAATAGGAGCGGAGCACCAATGAAGAATGTTTCAAAAACTGAGAAAATTTATTACTATTGAGAGACGCAGACGAAGTTGCGCGGGTCAGCTAGTATTATATAAAAGAAAAAACAGACTGATGAACTGACTAACACAGCTGAAACCGCTGGGCCTAGGAGAAGAAATTTTCCACAAATATTCCTCAGGTAACGTAGGTGTGCGCAAAGAAAGGATTTTTGAAAATTCCTCCCCCGAGGGTGCAAAATAGGGGTTGGAATTTTACATGAAACTTCGTTATTTTTTAGACTCACAGTAAATACTCTTTATTAAAAGTTTTAAAAGCGTTGTTGCATGAAAGTTGGATGCAGTATGGAAAACTATTTTTTTTATTATTCTTTATCGAAAAGAAATTAATTAGACATATTTTTTAACTTTGCAAAATTTAATTATGTTTTGATCTGGGCGAGATTTGGCACAAAGATAGATTATATTATACTATAATATTATACTAGAATAGCACAAATGCTACAATTTATCCCAGTCAAATTTATTGACAAAATTGATATTTACGCGAGTGAAGCCATGGGCAAAAGCACATACACACAATATGTATCATATTATTATTGGGTTTATGTAACGTCGTATACATTTTGGTAGGATAATCATTAACTTATCGTATAACTTGCTCTAACTCTGATTTTAGTCCTTTGCCTTCAGGTCGCTCCTGTAGTTCTTCTTTTTTGCTATCGTTGACATACCCTTATTAATTAACAATGAATGGACTGGAAAATAATTATTTACACGCCTAACAATAAGTGTGCTGAAATATGTACTCAGTCACTGTGCAATCGCATAGTCGGCAACAGTTATGTCTCAGCTTATTATGGGTTTCTGGTTACAATAGCCCGGGCCCTGCCTAGTTTGAGATCAGACTGGCGTGTGTAAAATGTGTGGAGTTATTATTACTATCTTATATATACTTGGATCTTAAACAAATATACTTGGATGTCGACTTAAGCTTTATCGACGAACATTTGGTGAATCTGATTAAAGAAGACATATTAAGTGATTTACGGGCAGAGGGCGTCCACAGTAGTCTTCCATCGGCTGCGGTCCTGATCTGAAGTTTGCTTTGGGAGGCCACGCTTAAAAATCATGTAACAATTTTTTTCGTTCTTAAAAAGTTCCCAACAGCGGAAAGACAATGGAATGTAGTAGATCTGATGTTTTCGTAGTATGACCTCAATTTCTTTGTTGTATTAATTTAACAATCAATAAGCATCAGTCTACGAATTAACACGGAAATAGGTTTCTGCAAACTTAGATTATAAATGGAGCTATGCATAATCTAAGTTTCCTAATGTGTACAATAGTGTATGATAATAATAATAGCAATCACGAAACCTTAAACGCAATTCGAAAACAAAAAGTTTTATACTATTTTTTAGTCTCTCCAAAATAACATTGGCAATAAAGAAAAATGGCATATCTACAAGCTATGTAGAACAGAGCTTGACATTTGAGAGAAATACCAATAAAGATAAACTAGAAAATATAAAATTTTCTAAACTTTGATGTTTTTTAATAGAATTATCTTTCTCGTACTCGCAAAGTATGTGTCAGAATCCCAGAGTTTACGGCGCAAGTAGGATCACAATATGAAGGCTGTGATCAGTGATCTATTGATGGAAAAATCAAAGTTATGGCTGTGCGGACAAGATGACTCTAGAGAAGCTAGCCTATTGGAGTCTGCATTTTAGTGATCTCTAAACAAGTAATGAATATTTTCAAGAATGTCGTTAATCGGGCGATTAAGAAAGTAATAGTATTAAGACAGTACCTACTACTGTCTAAGAGTGTAGTCTAAAAAGAAAACTGATTGCTCTCTCGAACATATTACAACTACTAACATTAACAATTAGGCTTTGCGTCAGGCCATGGTTTCCTAGGCTATAGTGATCACACATGCGTGACATTCTCAACACGCAATCCAATTATACTTCTGCGCGACTGTTTGTATGTGTCACAATGGTATGATTTATTTCATTCGTTTACTAAAGACCTAGAAGGCCCAAATGTCATTTTCAACGTCTCGACGATTGTTTGTTTTAGTGTATGTAACTTTCATATTTATCATTCAAAGAGTAGTTCACATGCAAAAGTTCAATATTCATTATTGGACACGCCAATTACGCCTAATTCTTTAACATTGACTCACATAAAAACTTTGTCCCCGTGTTTTGCCACCTTCGAGGTTTATTTTTGCTACAAAACAATATAGCCCGTTTTTTTCTTAATTCTCCAAGGTCTTGTTGATCCCTTTAGCATAGCGACGGGCGCACGTTGCTTTTTATAATAAGTTTTATTATAGAAAAAAGACCAATTGTTAATTAAATTTATACGATATAATACTATCATGTTCGATGCATCAAAAAACAATGTGGGTCTTTGATTTTATGAATTTTCATTTCGATTTTTTTTATTTTCTTTAATAACATTAGAAATTCATCTTCCACTTCTTCTGTTAACAATGTTAATAAATTTTAGTTCATTTTGCTCTGATTACAAACACGGTTGTTCAAGTAGCGCCATTCATAATTATGAGTACCAGACCCACACCCCAGAGAACCCACTCACACGCGACCGACGTTCAGAGAACCCCGGGCCTAATAATAATAATATAAAAATTAAAATATGTGTACCTATAGCTAGATTACATTTGCGTAGTTTAAATAAACTTTATCTTAGGTTAGTGCTTGCAGAAACAATATAACTCTGGCAATACTAGAGTCGATTGACAGTTTGGGCGAGAAGACAGAGACTAAAACCGAATTTTTATTTGTTAGTCTCGTGAATTTCCTAGTAATCATGGGTTTCGGAGATTACCCTAAGGAATATAATCCTGCTGTCCATGGGCCGTACGACCCGGCTCGTTATTATGGCAAACGTAAGATTATAAATAAAAAAATCATTCTTGAGTTTTTCATGTCCGATTATGTAATGTTGGATCTCGTTTTCAGCTGATACTCCATTCAGTCAAGTGAAACTGAATGAGGTCGGTTCTTGGTTGGCTCGCAGGAATAAGACCCCTTCTGCTATGCTTGGCGCGTGCAGCCGAGGTATGATTTTCTTAAATAGCATTAATTGCATAAACATAATTTTAGGTTAGTAACAGGGCTAATGAACCTAAAAATTTACCACAATTTGTATTATGTAGATACTGACTGTATTTCATAAAAATATGTACAAAACAAAACATCATACTGAAACTTGCAATTAAATGTATTTTTAAAGTTGTGTATAAGTTAGAGTTAAGTGGAATTAAGTCAGCTGTAGTACAATTATTTTCTAAAAAAAAAAAAATTACAATAAAAACAACTAAATAAAATGCACGCCTCCATTTTGTGGGATACAAGAACAATACAAAAATATAAAGTTAAGCATAGATAAACTATTTTAATAGTTTCTTTCAGATTTTCCAATAAATAATATTGCACTATTAAATGATTTAGACATAGACATAGAAAATAGATATAGACATAATTATGAATAATAATATTAAGATATGGTTGTGCACATAATTCAATTGAATTAGAATATACCTAATTCATAAAGCATATTTGATTGATATCAAGGATGCAGATAATAAAAATTACTTGACACATCTCATGCACAGCTGACAATTTACATGACATTGTACACATGACATATATGAATATATGCCAGTTTAGGACAGAAACAAGTATGATTTAAATAATTCAACACTTTTACTTTCCAGCCTGGTGGAGGTGGCAACACAAGTATGTGCAGCCCAAGAGAGTAGGCATGGCCCCATTCTTCCAGTTGCTGGTGGGCAGCATGACTTTCTTCTATGTTATTAACTATGGCAAAATGAGTAAGTACCGAAAACAATATAAGGGGTCATAATCTATAAACAAAGGCATTTGTTTAAAGAATAAACCTTATCTTCAAAAACAGTTGTGAATATTCAAAGTTTCTGCATTATAACTATACTAATATTATATTGGCACACTATCAAGTGACCTTGCATTGCCAAGCTTATCCCTCCTTTCCCACTTAGGAGTCAAGTATTCGGAAAATATGGTAACGAATATTTCTGCTGATTGGCGTTTCAATTCCCTGTTGCTCTGTTGTACTTATTTATTTATTTATATTAAGCACATCAACAGCATAACTACAACATAATTCATAATTTAAGTTTCACATAATTACACAGGAAATAGATATGTATGACACTTAGCATTTATCCAATGTAAAGACTTTTTATGCAAATGCTAATTAAATACATAAAGATACACACACAAACATTAGACCAAAACTAGAACATGTTTTTTTTATATAAAATACAACAAAAGTATAAAATAAAAACAACAGGTGTATATACATGGCTTTGTATGGAATGTCTGTATGATGTGAATGTCATGTCATGTGAATGACATGGAATGCAATGTTTTTCATTGTCATAGACCTTTAGTTACACAGCCTTGCCATGTGTGTAAGGGGCTATTGAAACTTATATTTAAAGTAGATACAGGTATCTCAAATGTACAATAATAATAATAATAATATTCTACCACATACACACAACGCCATCTAGTCCCAAACTAAGCAGAGCTTGTACTATGGGTACTAGACAACTGATATAAATACATATATACTTTTTTTTTTGTAAATACATACATATTATACATAGAAACACCCAACAATGGTGACGCATTACACATCTTTTAATCTTGAAGTTAAAATTGTATATCAATTGTGCATCTATCAAACCCTTTATAACTTTGTATAGTATAAATAAGTCATAATGAACGTGCCTTTCGAAACGCTATAAGCCTCTCAAGCTTTCGAGCTCCCTCCAACAGGGAAATGTATGGGAAATACCTACAACAGTTTCTCCATGAGAGGCTCCAAGAAAACTCGTGAAGCTCAAACGTTAGGGAATCTCGGTCGAGGAAGAGACCCCATGGAAGCCCGAATGTGTCTTTCTTCTAAGCTTGATATGCAAAAATGAAATTACGATTTAGCGTAACGCCAAAAAGCGTTTATATTTCTTTTTAGATCCTTCTCTATTTTTGCAATATAATGCCTGAAACTGGTTACTATGGCCTTTTAATTCTTGTGTAAAACAAATGCATCTTTGTTTCAAGGGTTTTATGTGTTTTATATCTAGTTCTATATTTTGTTTTTCTCTAATCATTTTTATCAATGATGTTAAAAAACCATGGCAGGTAGTTTTGACTTTTGTCTACCTTTACGAGTATATTTGTCTATAATTTCCCATAGTATATCATAAAATATGTTTATGTATTGTTGTGACAGTATGCAATATTTCATTTCACATTATTTTAAGTAACACGATACCCTGCAGGGATTTGTACCTTTGCGGCGTGGACGCTTCTATTAGTTGATTCTATTTTATATTACGAGGTCAAAGATGTTTAAATTGATTTTATTTTATTTTTTCAGAGCACCACAGGAACTACAAATACCACTAATCTGGAACACTAACAGTTTTAATCATGTTATTTATGTATGCAGCAAGATCAAGAGAATCTATAAGAAAACACATTACTGCGATTAAATGTAATTATTAGCGTGAAACGAAAGAGTTTTATTATTACTTTACGCCATGTACAATAGTAAGTACCTGTGTCAAGTGTGTGCCTATGACAGTTGTCTATGGTTAAATGAAAAAAAAATAACGCACCTAACAGTAGTTGCATATAATGTGACTACTGGCCTACTACCTCAAGGCAGATTGGCACCGTGTGAACTCATTGAATAGCGCAACGCCTTAACGGCTTCTTGTTACACACCACCGTCCCTTCCCCATCCACCCCTTAATGCGTCTACACCAAGATGAATGCAATAAAATATACTCTTCACACTAGATAGATAACTCTTTATTGTACAAAAAACATGGTAAAAAAGAAGAAATCAGTTTGTATACAATGGTGTGTCTTATATCTAAAGTTTAATAAATGAAACTAGATTGACTATCTGCCACATTTGACTTTTGTTTTTGTAAATGAGAGTACGTGAAAATTATCGCATCATTGTTTCGTTCAATGACCGTTACATGACATCACTAACGACTTAATTTGGGAGAAAACAGATCTTCGCTAGGTGCTCTAGTTTTTGAGATATAAGCGTGGCGACCTGGGAAGTTTCGTCCTAGGTCGGCCACCTAGGAACGCATAACTTTTGAATAAGTGACCGATAAATTCTGATATTTAGCGATAAATTTCGACCTGTGATTTCGACTAATTAGCGAATAAATGTGGGAGGAAACAGATCTTCTATAATAATAATAATAATAATATATTTATTTGCAGAAAATGTGGTAGTCACAGTAGGTGGTTTACAATGTTTAAAGCACAAGACACATTTCGCTATATTTAGATAGCATGCAAATTTTTAAATTGTGCAGGTAAAATTATGAAATAAAATTACATTACATTGCACTTGAAATATCAAAAATCAAACATTTTTAAAATTGTACAGGTAAAATTATGAATAAAATAAAAATAAAATTACATTACATTGCACTTAAAATAACAAAAATCATATTAAAAATAATTACTACACTAATGCATTTCTGAAGTGATATGACTGAGTAGAGTACTTTTTTAAAAAATCATTGACGGAGTAAAAGCACTCTGCTATTAGCCAATTTTTTAATGAAGTACAAAATCTGTGATAAGGAAGAGTTGCAATATTCTCCGGCAACGCGTTATAGATAAGTGGTGCCATGTAAACACAGCTCACCCTAAAAATTTCTAGGCGAGGTACTGGTAATTTTAAATACGAGTGAGTATTTTTACGTTTGTTGGTATTGTCCTTAACTTCAAACAGCTCTTTATTGCACTTCACGAATTTAGCTACTTCATAGATGAATATGCCAGGGACGGTCAACAGATTATGAGATACAAAGACAGGCCTGCATGAATCTGTCCATTTCAAACCGAATATTGCACGAAGCGATTTCTTTTGTGCTAAAAATACTCGCGTTATTTCTGATGAGTAACCCCAAACAATAATGCCGTAACGAATTATGGAGCAAACATATGCATGGTAGACCATTAAAGCAGTCTCCCTTGAAGCAGCCTCTTTGACTTTTTTTAATGCAAACACAAACTTATTAATCTTTTTGCAAACGTTTTCTATGTGATACTTCCACGTCAGATGTTCGTCCACTGTAACACCTAGAAATTTTGTGCTCTGTATTTGTTCTATTTCTTGATCATTAAATTTAACTGAAATATCAAATTGTTTTGTTTTTACTGTTCTGAAATGAATAAGTTTTGTTTTATCTATATTAATTTTTAAATGATTCGTATCAAGCCATTTGATGATATTCTGAAGTGTCTCATTTACTTCATGTTCACATGAATTTAAATTATTACCACTTATTAACACTGTAGTATCGTCTGCAAATAGCACAGATTTGCGATTTTGCATTGCTTGAGGGAGATCATTGATGTAAATAAGAAATAGTAATGGCCCCAAAATACTCCCTTGCGGTACTCCGTAATAGTTAAACCTAGGTTCCGAATCGAAATATTGTAAACAATTAGTGCCACTATTGAATTTGGTTATTCTTGTAATTTGTCTTCGTTTGCTTAAATATGAATCCATCCATTGTAAGGCTATACCTCTTACGCCAGTTTTATCCAGTTTTTGAATTAGTACATCGTGACTCACAAAATCAAACGCTTTGCTTAAATCTAAAAATATAACGAAAGATGGTATTTTCTTATTTATGTTGTTAATTATAGATTTTATTAGAGAAAATATTGCATGTTGAGTAGATTTACCCTTTCGAAACCCAAATTGTTCTTTAGCTAATACGTCATATTTATTATAAAAACTAATCAGCCTTTTATTCACTACCTTTTCAAAAATTTTAGAAAAAATAGAGGTTAGGGCTATTGGCCTATAGTTATTTTTATCAGTTCTGGAACCTTTTTTGGGTAAAGGTCTTATTATAGATAGCTTCAAGTTCTCTGGAAAACAGCCTTGTTCAAGTGATAAATTTATTATGTACGCTAATGGTTCTGATATGAACTGAGATATGGGTTTAATTAGTTCTGTGGTGAAATCATCATGGCCTGACGATTTAGTGTTTTTCAGTGATTTAATTATATTGTAGACTTCTATTGCATTTGTGGGTTCTAAAAATATACTATGTTCATTGTTATTATTATTTAAATTATTACAGTTGATGCAAGTGGAAGTGATTTTCTCATTTTGTATTATATTATTTTCTACAATTTCAATAAAGTAATTATTTAATACATTAGCTATATGGGGTCCCGAAACTATTGTAGCGTTATTGTTAACAATCGTATCGATACATGCCTGGGATGGTTGGTTACCAATATTGCGTTTAACAACATTCCAAGTAGCTTTACACTTGTTACTAGAGTAGGCAATATACTTTTTGTGACTGGTTGATTGTAATTGATTAATGCACTTTCTTAGTATTTTTGAATACGTTTTAAATTTATTTTTATTCTCGACAGTTCTATTGTTGTAGTATGAAAATCTTAGTTTTCTCTTATTTTTGCTGCAAATTTTAAGTCCCTTAGTTAGCCATTTTATATTATTACTTTTGTAGATTTTTTTAACTTTAATGATAGGGAAACATAGCTTATAAAATAGTATTAATAAATTATGAAACCTATCAAACGCAGTATTGGCTTGAGAAACTTCATATATTTCTGAAAAGGACAAACCACTTATACATTCAACAAATTTATTTATATTTTCTTTACTAAGATCAGTTTTATTTACAAAATAATGTGCTATGGCATTAATACTTTGACACTTGAATCCCAAAACTTGAGCAGTATTGTGATCTGATAGACAAAGGTTATGTGTTTTTCCAATCGCTGTTGGAATATTGCTAACAATATTGTCAATGCATTTATTTGCTCGTGTCGGCTCGGTAATATGACATTGCATACCATAATTAAAGATGAGTTCATTATATTTAATGCTATTACTATCATTTTGCAAAAAATTAATATTAAAGTCCCCGGCAATTACAACTTTACATTTTTTATGTTGTATTTTTATAAGCAATTTTTCAAAGTTTTCAAAAAATATGTTTATGTTTGAGTTCGGAGTTCTGTATACACAAATTACAACAACGTTACTGTTTTTAATTTCAACACCACATATTTCGAATTGTTTCTCAATACTCATATTTTTAATCTCAGTTATTTCAGTGCACTGATACCTATTTTTGCAAAGTATACAAGTGCCACCTCGACGTTGTTTTCGACAGTAAAATGCTACAAGCTTATACCCATTCAACAACATATAATTTTCCTCACCTTCACTTATAAAATGTTCACTTAAACAAACAACTTCAATGTTTAAACCTGATTCGTTAAGTTCATGAATAGCCATCTCAAGATCTTGTAGTTTATTCAGAGCTCCAGCAATATTTTGATGAAAAACCGAGAAGGTATCACTACTATTGTTTACGAAAAAACTCTTTTTTGTTATTGTCCCGCATCTTTGGTTTTTCTACAGCCTGAAAGTAGTAGGGAATTGTACCCTTACGCGGTTGAGACTTAGTACATACTTTAGGTTTTCCTACAGCATGAAAATAGTAGGTGATTAAACCCTTGTGTGATTGATTATTAATATTATAGCTAGATTTTATTGAATGAAATGAATTGATGGTTTGAAGTTTGTTTTGACAACTATAAGAAGTTGTATCCCTCTTAGAGGTTGCGGCAATTTTAAAGGTTTTGCTGTTATATGACAAATAATTTAGCGTATATTGTGTTAAATTTATTTTGTAAATGATTCGTTGTACAATTTCGTGACTATTACGGCCCTCTACAAATGAGCAATTTTTGAAATTCTGAGTCAACAGTCGAATACTATAATTAAGTTTTCTGTCATTCAGAAATGCATTGTGAAGAACATTAACGATGTATACATTACAATTTTCAAATAGCTTAAGCGCAGCAGAGACTTCACTTTGAAATTTAAGCGGATTGGAGTCATTACTACCGCTCATTATGATGACGCTATCTCTCTTGGTTAATTTTTGTGATAAAACATTACAGCTAGATAAAACATTCTCTGTTGTTGCAAAGGGTTTTGTTATTGAGAAAATTTTGTATTTATTCAGAATTAGTTTATGTTGATAACGTATTAGTTTCTGAGCTATTCCTGCTCCTTGGTTATCAGATAGCAGGATAATTTGTCCATGTTTGAGGGTAGAGGTCTTTGAATGTGAGCCTATATTCTCGTTCACCTGTTTTTTTACCTGTGATTTAAGGGTTTTATTTTGGACCTCTTTTGAAGATAAAATGAAAGGTTTGTCAATCTGTGCTTCACCAGAGTGTATAAATTCCATATTAGTATCTAAATCTGATTGTTGTACAGAGGGACGCTGCGGAGTTAAAAAATCAATATCTAAATCTAGTTTTCGAGAAGAAAGGTTGTTTCTATTCAAGGATTTTTTTTTATGTTTTATGTTACTAGCTGTGTTATTTTTTTTTACACTCAAGCTCGTAACATACATATTTTTGTACTGTGTCACTTTCTGTCTTTCTTCTTGTAATTTCAGTTGAAGCGAGTTGTTTTCTAAAGTCAATACATCTATTTCTGCATGTGCACTCATCAACTGTGCTTTAAGTTTATTAATAGTGTCTGTTAGGACTTTAAATTCTTCATTTTTAAAATGCGTAGATAGATCTAGCATGCTTTTGGCGCTTTGCGGCGTTGACAAACTATCTATTGATTCTATTGATTGTTGTGAAACGGAACGCTGCACACATTTATTTCTCAGTGTAACATTATCATTATCATTAGAAGCCATATTTGAACAATTCAATTTTATTTGGAGAATTATGTAGATTCACAAAAAGCGAATTTTATCGGTAGGTCTCGAACTCGGGGTTGGTCGTGTAAGTACGCACATACGTTTCACCCCAGACCACGGAGTCAATTGTTCATGGAGTTGAAATACTTGAATATATTTAACGTATTATAATTCAAGCAAATAGCGAGCGAATACGTCAGTTGACCATTCATTCGCCCACACCCGTAATTTTGAATAAAAATAACGAACACTTTTCCACTGTTTCGAGTTCACTATAGATTTTGTGGTTTTATGTCGTTTTATTGCACAATCTATTGACACTGTGTATTTTATTATATAGTTGTACGAGTTTATTATAACTTCTTGTACTTATGATAGGAATTATGTTTGTAAACAACGTTATTGAGCTAGAATTTGTTTATCCACTTTTATACACTATTAAACTGTTGTAAAGTATCACAAACGATAGACGATGGAATATATAGTAATTGAAGTTAATTAATCACTTTAAACAACTAATTAAATCACTTAATGAATATTTAACAATTTATAAATACGAAGCTGATGTTGACACAGCGGCTAGCGCCATCTACTCTTCTTTATCTTCTTCGCTAGGTGCCTTAGTATTTGACATACAAGCGTGGCTCTGTTGGGGAGACTGACCCCAACAGGGCCAGGCCCCCTATAAACGCTTATAATTTTTAAACCAGTGTCCGGCAAATTTAGATATTTAGCGACTAAATTTGGGCGAAAACAGATCTTCGCCAGGTGCCCTAGTTTTTAACATGGAATGTTGGTTCTCCAGTAGGAGAGACTGACTTTGAACCAGTGACCGACAAATTCTGATATTTGGCGACAAATTAGCGACTAAATTCTTGTCATCAAAATTAAAATCCATGACGGTAGCCCTGCCAGGGTCAGTAACACTATAGGTAGTCCATCTTATCTAAGAGGTATCGTTTGACAGTTCTGACGAAATGAAGTATAGCGATGTGGTTAAACAAATCGATTCCTACAACATCCGATTCTTAAGAGATACCGATTTCTTATTACATACTAAGAAATAAAATCAAATACAGTTTTACTTTTTTATGAGTATGCTATAAAAGGCCGTATAATGGCATATCATAGGTTTTACCAGTAAATCTTAGTACCTATACGTCGGACACGTGCGATTTTGCTTACAAAGATTTATTTAAAATTACATTAACGTACATAATTTTCATTTTGATTATGCGTTTTCGTTGACAGTTGGATTTCAGATGAATTTTAATGACTCGTTATTATTAAGTTTGATTTTTCGGTCATTTTAACGATTATTCGGATTCAGTGAATTTGAAGAGCCGTAACACTACGGTAAAGAACCTAACTACGTGACTTTGAAACCAAATTTGAAAAAAACATCTATTGCATATAATTTGTTTTTTTAGCTGTTTCAAATATGTCAATTTAGTCATTAAGAACTGTATACCTTGCGGTAAAATAAATATTGCTTCATAATTTTAGTTTTACGAAAAAGGTTATTGAAATTTTGTGTTACGTCTATACAAAGTTGTTTCGTTTTTAAAAGTATAAAACGTCAAACGGTACCTCTTAGATTAGATGGGAGTATAGTTGCACTGCATGGATGGCGTCGCGCCACGCCGCTTCCCACTGTGCTGAGTGTTGTAGGTTCGATTCTCACATGGGACAACAATTTGTGTGTGATCCACAAGATGTTTTTTTTTAATCTGTGTTCCTTGTGTCCGTTTTATGTATGTTGTAAAGTCCCGGCAACATAATGTATGTTTGTGAAGTCCCGGCAACATAATGTATGTTTGTGAAGTCCCGGCAACATAGGATATATTATTATGCAGTTGTTTTTTTAAAAAAGTTGTCAAATACGAAACTTGACAAATTTATAACACAATATTCAAAGTTTCCATACTCCTCAAGTGCAAATAAAACAAGGTCTTTGAAAAAAATATTTTAATTACTTAATGCAATAATAATTTATTAACCTCATGCATTCACCATGCACACACTGACTACAGTACAAATGCGGTATTTCTTGATCTCTAGGACACGCCAGGCTCCTAGACTTCACTGAGATGTCTTATCACATTGATGGCCTATTAATTAATCTGCAAAAAAGAAATAAAGAACATTAATTGATTGCAACTCAAGATCTAAATACAAACAGCCTGATTTTAAAGTGTTGAGATATGTTGGTAAAGGCAGCCTTAGAATAAAAACTTCTGCACCCCTCCATAGAAAAATTTGATTATAAAGCATTTCTGATTTCGATATTTATCTGTAGATTTATAATTCCTAAAATAATCCATACTATTTGACGGGTAACTTTGTAATATTTATTATATATGTATTGTTTTGTCCAAATTAACAACTATACAAATTATATATTGAACCTTGATGACATACACATTAACTAGCTGTAATTTTTATGATATAAAAACATTTGAAGTAGGGTAAGAAATACTATTAAAGAACTGTGTACTGACTTTAAAGACTGTTAGAACACTGATTTTACAAACACAATGTAAAGATTACCTTGTTAATTAAGTCATTTATACATCATATTTAATTTAAAATGCATTATTTGAAGGTAGGTACATGTAATAGTTTTCCAAATAAAAAAATGAGTTATGGTCTATTTAGTTGTATGATCTATAATGTTTTAAAATTGTCGTTACACTTTTTCACACCAAAACTATAAAATTAGTCTGTTCATTTGTCCATCTAATGATTGCCTATTAGATATTGGTTTTTAGCAATAAGGACTCCATTTGAACATGTTCATTAATTTGATGAAACATCATAAAAAAGATATTGTTGGTATACAATAAATTTTATCCTATTCTAATATTGTTTACTTTTATTTTCTGAACTTGAATAAAAAAAAGGAAAAAATTATAGCATAACATTTATATTTGCAATAATTTAATGATTTGATATAATTTATAAAATGAATGTTAAGTTATCACAACTTGTAAACTGTCAAAAAATTTAATTAATAGACAGTATAAAAACAAATTTACTTCACTAATTACACACCACTAAATGAATTTCTTGCATAAGACATTATTTTGTTATCAATGTTTAAGATTTATAACAGTATAAATTATGTTAAATATAAATAACATCTTTTATACTTTTTGAAAAGTTACTAGTTAGTTCTGGACAAAAAGTACATACAATTGAGTAATTTAAAATTCACAATTTTAATGTAGGGGGATTTGCTTAATAATAATAACATACACAGAAATCGCTAAACATTTGAATAAGGAGATTATTGTATTAGGGTTTAATATTTCAAACTGTTAATCTTTTGCCTGGTCTGTGTGTTGATGGATTAAAAAAATCAAGAGACGACTAAGGGAGCAAACTATGCTGGACAAGTGCCCTGCAGAGAGAAGAAAAACTTGACACAAACCGTATACCAACCCATCTGCTCAGTGTGGTATAGTAGGCCAAAACCTCCTTTCTAAGGAGAGGCTTAAGTGGACTGTTAAAGGCTGTTGATGATGATGACTGTTAATCATTTGCAGATGGTAATAATTTTGTGTAAATTATTATAGTGACTGTAATGCATACAATAATGATATATACAATCTGTGCAGAACATAATAATCTCAAGTTTACCATTAAAATCTTACAAGTATGTCACACTGTACACCATAAATTTCATCATCTTATGCTGTTTGAAATCACATATTTTTGTTATCTTTAGAATAGCTCTGCTATACATTAACATATAAAGCTATATATTTTCAGATAATTTAAGGCAATAACCTCAAAGATTAGCTTCCAAACATGTATTTCACTTACCTATAGACTTCAGCTAATTTACAATTCTGATTTGCCCATATACTTGGGCTTTAACTCTTCTATTCTCTTGATGAAATCTGTCTTCTCAATACAACCATCACACACCTCATCCCAGTCATTGAGAATTTTCTTTAAATCTCTTACTTTGAGTTTCTTTAAATCAACATTTTTCAGATCTATCTGTTTATCGAACCTAAGATCGCAGATCTGAGCGTCTTTCTTTTTTAACTTTTCACAAATTTTGTCGGCGGGCATCGACCAACTGAGCGGCTTGGACAGCTCACCCAAGATACCTGTAGCAGATTCCTCTAATCCGCCCAAATAGTAACAAAACCTGTTCTCTTTGTTTTTGGAAACTTTGCAGAATTGCCTGAACTCAGCTTCAATGGATTTTGGATTAGATTTAACATCATCTGATAACGTGGCGGCGAATTTCTCTACAGTTTTAATACAAACTTCGCACTCGCCATCTCTTAATGCAAGCGCTACTTGTGTGATTGCAGCCAAGAATAATAACTGAAACACGCCTAATTTATACATTTTGAACTAATATTTGCTAGTGAGATGCTATAATTAACTACACTTGCTTTGAACACCGTAACTTATATCAGAGTAAATAGAAAATAGTCTGGGATTTGACTAAAAGAACAATCTCGTCCATTCATGGAAATGAAAACGTTGACAGCTTTACTTGGCGAGTCGTGATTGGTGCACGTTGTAGCATAGTGGAGTGGAGTTGTCCACGTGTGCCAACGTTAAATCGAATTATCGACTTCATCATTGATTAAAGGTTTCAACTTGATTTTAAAAATTTCAACATATTTGGATCAAATAAGATACCACTTGGTGACTATTAAGAGTAGGGTAATAGGAATTAATTGAATAAGCCACAGTTGGTAAAAAAAGCCTTTTTAAAATTCAAATAAAATGGGGATCAGAGTATTTTATTTGAATGGTATTAATACAAAAGAGGTAGCATTATATTAACCCTATCGAGATTATTTTCATAAATCACTCAACAATTATTTATTGTAATACTCGAATGGACACAATTCGTCTGTCATTGTTGAAAATTTCATCAAAAAACAAAAACTAATATATATCCAACTTTTTAAATTTGACAATAAAAATGTACATGTTCAGTTTGTTAAGCAACGATGCGTAGTCGCCTGTAATGGTTTTGGAGCCTGTTCCCCTTTTGCAACCAACGCGCGGACAGTTTTCTCATGCCTAAATCTTAATTCAATGTGTAACAAACATGTTCTTTGGACATTTTCATAGCCTCTGCTATATGCTATATCTCTCAATTTTAGTCGTCTAGCACCATTTGATGAACTTTAGCGATGTTATCATCAGTAGTGCAACTACTGGACTTTTTGGACGTCCCGAAGGTTCATCATCTCCCAAGCTCACGACTACGTTTAAATTCAGTTGCCCAAATTTTCATTGTGGTAGATGTTGGTGCAGAGTCCCTTTACACAGAGTCCAACTCATCTTTGATTTGCGTAGGCATATTGCCTTTCAAAAATAAAATATTCAAGTTTTTCCCATTTTCACAAAACACACATCGACTCTTTAAAGCGACTATCAAATAACAACAGTGCTGCGCGTCCAGTCCAAAATGGCTAAAACTTTGGTGAGTAACTGTGATGAAAAGATGCACGACTAAATTCACTAACTTTTATTGACGAGTGCTGGTGTCTTCACGTCGAGATCGGAAATTGTTTAGTGTCACCCACCCTCGTAGTGTCAAAAAAACTAACATTTATTTTACAATTTACATATTAGTGATACTAATGTCGCTTGTAAATTCCACCCTGACGTTGGCAGAATCATCGATATCCAATGGAGCCATTAAATTAAAATAAGAAGTAAATCGCTTAATTGGATACCATAAATAGTACGTAATATGATTTCCAACTAGTTTATTAGAATGAGTGGGAGCTGGATAAAATAAGGTTACTTTTACTTCCACCATTTAAGATATGATTGACATATGGTCACTAAATTATTAAACTTAAGACAAATTTACATCCATTGCATTCTAGCTACATAATAAGAACACACAAAATTTACAATACTTTTTAAAACTTTATTGGCGTTGGTCGCTTAGTTAGGTCGTGAGCGCCGCTTGCTGGGCACATGTTGCGTTGTCATGTATACATGTCTGTGGCAGGCGGCATAATATGATAAGTGCCTAATATTCTCTTCGATAGGTATTACTTGGTTATTGATTCTAGTCATCATCATCATCAGTCTATCTTAGTCCTGCTGGACATAGGCCTCTCCCAATGCACGCCACTTCGATTGATTACGATTTTGCGCAGATCGTCACTCCACCGGACCTGTGGGCGTCCTGCACTACGTTTGCCTAGAAAACCATCATGGATTTTAATTTTGAAAGCACAAAAATTTAGTCGTCAATTTGTCGCCAAATATCAGAAGTCGTCGGTCACTGGTTCAAAAGTTATAAGCGATTATAGGGGGCCCTGCTGGAGTCAGTCTCCCCACGTTTTTATGTTAGACATACCTTTAACTTGGGCACCTAGCGAAGATCTGTTTTGAAATTCAGCAGATATTTGTCCCGAAATACCAGAATTTGTCGGTCACTGTATAATCACCCACTGGTGGGTGGTATCCGAGGGGAGTTCCGCACAGAAAAAAGAAGAGAACCTAGGACGAATCTTCGCTTATACCTCAAAAACTAGGGTACCAAGGGAAAGTGCCGACTTGTAAAAATATCTGAAAATATTTACTTACAGAAATAAATATCATTTATCATTTATAAGGTCTGTTTTCTCCCAGATTCAATTTTTTTTACCACAGATTTACTCGAGTCTTAGTTTAGAAGATATTTTAATTTTCAAGGTGGATAGTCTAAGAACTAGATCGACGAGTTTACGAAAAATTGCTTAGAAAAAAATATTTCTATTTGTAGGTATATGTAATTTAGTTCTACGTGACTTCTTATTGATTCTATGATAAGATAATATAGTTTTAGTTAAAGATTAAAAAAAAAGCATCTAGGAATTTGTTTTTGATTAACAAATATTTTCCTAATAAAATTATTACGGTAAAATAGAACTGACACTTTCCATCAAATAACTTTCTTAATTAAAGCTTAATTAGGTAATGAATAGACTCGTTGCACTTGAATCCCCTGATTCAAGTTCAACGTAAATAAATAAACGTTATACTAAACGAAATGATGCGGAATTTTAACTCTGCTCTCTTAAGAGTATACCATTGTAAATTCAGACATATAAACATTCAGCCAAACAATAATTATACTAAATAATTGTTATGCCTGAAGAATATTCTTTTAAAGAAGATTCTGCCAAGTGTGTTATGGGAAATAAATTTCGGAGCAACAAGATTCTGCCAGATAGAGGAGAACCCAATGAATACAGCTTTCTTTTGGTGGGTTCGAATTATAGAATAACTTTACATTTATATTATATTTTATATTATATTTGTGGCGTCGTATCGGGTCACGATCGTGTAGCTGGTGAAATAAAGAACGTAGCTGTCGGTGACGTGTCGTCGACTAGGTATCGATCGACATCGGTTTCGTTCGGGCAGGGTCGTCCATTCATTTAAAGATTAATGTAATTTTTTTCATTACCTTTCATTAAGTAGGTATTTTCAACATTTTACTTTAATAAAGTACAATAATTTACAGTAATAAATCATGTTAAATTTCAAAACACAAGTTTTATTTTTCTAAAAATCTTTATTTAATTAGGAATTTATTCTCTCTGAAATTTCTAAGAACTTAAAACTAGGAGAAGGTACATACCATTATAATATAATTTTATTAATGAGCTAAATTTTTAACCTACCTTAAAAATTGAGCTAATTAATCTCCAAAACTAAGACCCGACAAATTCTGATATTCGGCGACAAATTTCGAGAAGTTACCGATTCAATTTTTGTGTTCAGTGACACTGATTCTAGTGACTAGTGAGTATTTGACTTAAAAAGAACTAAAGTAAGTACAACACATGCATAATATGGTTCCTATTCTGATCATTTATATAATAATAAAACTACCCTCATTATAATAGGTTGTAATGTCGCCAATTTGTAGATACACCTAACACTGATATTACACAATACAGTCTCCATCTATTACACAGAGGTAGTTAACACTCGGAACTCAATTCAATTACATTATTTAATGACCCGTCATTATACAAAGTCTGATAACATTAATTAGCACGGCTACAAACATTTTAATCAATATCTATACACATATCTTTTATTCTTGTTTTACCAGTAGCACAGTAATCGCCAACAAAAGCTGCGTAATGTGCCATAGGCGGTGATTCTCGCGGTTTAGAATTGCTATAAATCGTCTTGTTATCTATTGTTTGTAATATTTTTCTGAAATCGAAGTTAAGAGCTTTCATCCTATGGTACTCGTACTTCGGAGCCTTCTTTTCTGCACTATCTTCAGTTGAAGTGTCGATTGGTTGTGATTTGCGTTTTGATACAATACTATATCGGCATTCAATAATCTCAATAATTAACACAACAATTAATATCACAATTAAACATTTCATTGTATTTTCTCTAATGAACGTCTACTTAATGTGGATATTATTTCATTACTGACTACGGAAGAGTCGTATAAAAATTATGTTTTAATAGTTGTTTAATTATATTAAAAACAAGATTGTGTAATTATTTTGCTCGGTTATTGATTTCATAATCACAAATAGATCTACAATCATTATTATGAAGATAGTTATTCGCAAAAGAAACGTCAAAACTTACTTAGTCTGGCCATAAATACCGTTACAATAAAAAAAACAATAATGTTACAGTTGAATTAGGAATTGCATTCTTATATGAATTATATAAATATTCTTATATGGATATTCAAATTCATTATTTCCTCATTTTAATATTCAATCGGTATTAAAAATTTGCGTAATTTTAAAATAGAGCAGGGTGTTAAGGAGAACTGAATTTATGTGTTGACTGAGCTACGAGTCCAATTATGTAAAAAAAAAAACGTTTTTTTCAAACACACACTTCAACGCACCGCAACTAAACTAGGTCATCATTCTGTGTCGAAGGCGCTTACAATGGGAGGTCCTCATGGATCGGTGCTAGGTCCATACTTGTGGAATATCGGCTTCGACGATTTTCTTGCGATACCAATACCATCCGGATGTACTCTGAACGCGTATGCTGATGACGGCTGGTGGAATCTGATACTAGGGCGGGACTTGAGAGATCAGCCAATAGATGTTTAAACTTGATATCTCAATGGGGTGAACGTAATCGCTTAACTTTTGCACCCAACAAAACCTTCCAGCTACTTTTAAAAGGTAACCTCAAATCACCGCCAAGCATTAGATTTGACAATGTTACTGTAAAAAATAAAACCTCAGTGTGTTACCTAGGATTAGTTTTAGAAAGAAACTTTTCATTTATCGAACATATTAAAATAGTTAATGAAAAGAGTTTCTGTGCATTGACAAGGATATCAACTGCGACATGGGGTCTATCATTTAATACATTAAAGATCATATACGGAGCTACTTATTTAGGTTCTATGTGCTATGGTGCACCTGTATGGGCCGATAGGGCGACCGTAGGCGCTGTCCGTCGCAGACTGTTACAAGGCCAACGACTTGCACTGATATTCTTGTGCAAGGCATATAGGAGGAGTTGTCGAGGATATGGCTTGAGGTGGATCACTGTGTCGCTCAATTTCTTACGGGTCATGGTAACTTTAAGAGCAAGCTTTATTCATTTAAATTAGTCGAGTCACCATTGTGTCAATGCTCAACACCTTACTCTCACTATGAACAGTCTGCTCATCATATCCTCTGGGAATGTAGTCTTTGGTATAATGAACGTAATATAATGCTGAATAGCTTGCAGGTGACATCTGGGGCGGTATAATATGAGGATCTTGTGTCAACTAGGGTGAATTTCCGTGCGTTTAGGCGATTCTGCCATACATATTATAGAAATCAAATATAGCTCACGTAGGACTATTTGTGGCCGTGGTGCTTCCCTGTTTAAAAGGGTGTATGCCCATTTTACTTCATTTTGTCTCCCGCTTTGCTAAGGAGGGAAGTGGATTTACTGTATTTCCAACTCCTCCAATTGTCTTCTGATTAATTTCGTTGCGGGTTCCAAGATAGTTTAATTTCTTCCTGGGACTTCCCGAGTGTCATAACTCGGTGTGTTCGTGGGTCACTGCTGTGGATCCTGGTGTACAGGAGTTACAGTGGTGGGTGTGTGGGTGGGATTAGTCCCAATTCAACGCACCGTTTGACATCGGCATCACTTGCCATATAGAAAAATAGAATAAAATGAAAATTAGGTATTTAATTATTTTTAAACCAGCAAAATTACGGGCAGTTTTAATACTGCCCATTTTTTTAATACTAATAAATTCAGGACCTTCTATATAACTCAAGTGTTGACTGTAACATGAGCACAAAAGTACACTATCAGCACGTTCAGCACAGCCTGTGTGCACTGGTACCAGAAGGCCAATTCTCTTAATAAAAGTTCGGTCTCAAATCAGTTCTGATCAACTTTCAATCTCTCAACTGTCATAAAAGGTATTTTTATAGTAAGGTATTAGTAAGACAAGCAGATCACCTATACAATTATCGGTTAAATTACGATTTAATCACATTACATTCAACGTTGGATGTTTAATACTTTACTACGAAAATATCTTTTATGACAGTTGAGAGACTGAAAGTTGATCAGAACTGATTTGAGACCGAACTTTTATTAAGAGAATTAGCCTTCTGTTCTCTGGAAATCTTGGTCCCCTCAGCGAAAAACAAAGAGAGCACTTCCATCAGGATCTAAGTAGTAAAAAATAGGTACCAAGGTGGCTGTAATATGAGATTACTATTTTAGTATCACATTGGAGGATTAAAACAATACACATTTTATTATTTTCTAAAGCAAAAGTGTCAAATCAGTGCATGTTGTAATTCCCCATAAACATTTGTTACACTTTATTTAATTATTGGAACGAAGTTCCTTATCGCGCGTTGTGAAAGGGGGCTAGACGGAAAAAAATCGTACGAAAATTTGTCACGACACTTTTAATATAAATTGACGTCTAACTGTGGATACCATACATTAAATTTGCTTTAACGTTCGCCAACGTCCATACCATGTTGAATACACCGGTTCTCGTCCGATCACCGAAGTTAAGCAACTTCGGGCGTGGTCAGTACTTGGATGGGTGACCGCCTGGGAATACCACGTGATGTTGGCTTTTGCTCTTTATTTTCGTGTCATCTTGTCAGACATTCAGCGCCATCTATCGAATAGATAGGAAATCATTTCGCAAGGAGATTTTACCAATGTATAAATTGTTTTAATTGTTTTTAATATGTAGGTAATAGCCGCTTTCATAGATGGCGTTGTTAGGTCAAATCAGTTTTACTCGATCGTCACAACTTCGTTCCTATCGGGTGTCCCACGACACCACACGGCTTTTTTCTTGTAATTTTGGTAGCATGTAAGAGTATAAATAAATAAAAGTCTGACAAAGAATCTTACTAGGTACCTGTAAAATAATGTAATTAAATGTTTATAATTTACTTGTTTTGTTTTTTTTTGACATATCTCGTATCCCGAAAACCACATAGCATCGAAAAATAAGTACCTATTCATTTGTAAGGCGGCTAACCAATATCATTATTATAACCAATTTGACTCAAATTAAGTTTTAACGGTAACAAAATCACTGAATGACCTGTGTAGACCTGTGTTATTTATGGACAGATCAGATATGTCATTCGTTGTCATGGAAACTACTTGTGTTTATCAATAACTTGTTATTTTTGTTTCGTCGATATTCTTGATTTAAAGCTTTGATCTCTTTGATACTGTGAAAATGGGTGAAGTAAAACCAAGTTTGCAAGATAATCCTCGAGGAGCTCTAGAACAATACATAATTGCTTTACAAAGTGAATCGAAAATGGCACGAAAACAGGCGCTCGCGAAAATAAATGAGGAAATATTTGAAAACCCAGCTAACAGTGATTGTGACTTGACCACCGTTTTCCCAGAAGTGTATGCTTATGTGTTAAAGAGCTTTTCCGATCCTTCCGAAGCATGTCGAGATGTTTCAGCGGCTATTATATCTAATTTCATAGAGAAACTCCCTTTAAATGACTATTATCTAACCTATATCCTCCCGGTAATAGTCCGACGTATTGGTTGCCCTGAAATAGTCGAAGAATCGGAAGAAATTCGTCTGACACTTATCCAATTAGTCCATAAAATTCTAGACAAGTATAAAGTAGTTCATCTCTTAAGCCCATTTATCAATGATTTAACAAGTATTCTAACCAAAACAGTCACTGATCCATTTCCAAAAGTCAAGCTTGAAGCTTGTGAATGTATAATAGCAGTTACTAAAAATTTACAGAGAGATTTTCACTTCCAATGTGAAAATTATGTAAAGCCTATAATATCAAACTTTGCGCATCAGCATTATAGGGTCAGGGTGGCTGCTATCAAGGCTATAGGTTTGTAATACTTTACTATTTTACCATGAAAATACCTTTTATGACAGTTGTGAGATTGAAAGTTAATGGGTACTGAATTGAGATTATAATAATAAAGTATATCACACATCTCACACACGGCCGTCTAATCCCAAACTAGGCACAACCAGAAGTATAGTAACCAGACTGCTGATAAACATACTTATATATTTTTAAATAGATACATATTATAGATAAATTACACCCAGAGAGAACAAATGACCGTGCTCATCACACAATATTTGTCCTGGGTGGGAAACGAACCCACGACCTCCGGTTTAGCAGTCAGGGTCACTAACCACTAGACCAACAGGCCCGATTTAACAAAGTCAAAGTTTTATTACGAGAATTAGCCTTCTGTTCTCTGGAAATCTTGGTCCCCTCAGCGAAGGACAAAGAGAACACTTCTATCAGGATCTAAGTGGTAAAAATAGTTGAGACCTTCATGGGCGGCGATAGTCACTTTCCATCAGGTGACCCGTCTGCTCGTCTGCCCCCTCTAGCATAAAACTTATATTCAGTTTTTATACTACTGGTATAGAATTAAATTTATTACAGGTATATATATATATATATATGGTCTTTTTTTGTATTTAGATTTTTATTCCATTTGGCTTTCTTCTCAATAAGTCTCCTAATGTCATTTTTATCACTTTATTTCTAAATTTTCAACTGTAATGTACAAATGCCAACTATATTTCATTCATTTCTGACAACACAATAAATACATTAATTCAGGAGCCGTAGTCAACTCAGGTAATGGTAAGTGCTTTGAGATGTCCATCACACCGATGGCTGAGAAACTGTTTGATGAAAACAATCAAGTGCGTCTACAAGTCACCCTAGAAGTGGGAAACTGGATGCTCAATTACCGAGATAGATATTCTTTCTGGCATAAGATGATACCTCTTCTTCTTACAAGGTAATTATTCTTCGTATTAAAATTTAATGTACACAAGTACACACGGTAAACTAAATACCTGGTCAGTTTATCAGAAGAACTTGTGATTTTAAAGAAAGTAGGTATTACTAGAGAATATGAAAAAAATAAAGAAGAACACACAAAATATTTATAGTTCAGACATCTTGTTGTGTTTCATTATTTTGTTTAGTAGTTTTGTTCAAAACTGGTTTGAGTGCCTTGTAATTCGTAGGATTGATGAGATTTGACATGTTGGATTGTGAACCCATATTTTATCACAAATAAGGGCCATAGGTATCAATGCATACTACGTACAGCAACATTATCTATCTATTATTATCCAGCCTAAGTGACGTAATGGAAGATATCAGAGAAACTGCCAGTTCCTTCTGGAGGGATGTCGGACTACAATATATGGAAGAAAATGAAGAAGATCTTAAGAAAAAGGCTGATTTTCTCAAAGACGTACCCACTCATTACCCTGCTAATATTACAAGACCTAATATGGGATGTAGGACACTTGCTCAGCATAATATTGGGAAGATTGTCCCCGCTATTGTCCGAGGTAATATTTTTGCTTGTTCACACGTTAAATCGGTACTAGAAATCTACGAAGAAATAGCTTCCTTATATATAGCTCACAAAATGACACATATGAAAGACTGAAGCGGCATCCACGGTTTGCATTACAGCATATGCTAAGGATTTTGAAGCGCTAAAGCGATTAGCTAGACTTTGACCTTGGCTAATTACACAACACACTTTCTAGGAGGTAGGTTAGAGTAGAATTTAAGTTTATGTAAGGCAGGTTTCGTACTCTAGCTAGTCAAAGAGAGAATCTAAGAGAATAGTGAGATTGCTTTGTGGTCACAAAGATGTCGCGCGCTGAAGGGACTGAAACTGCTGACTGTGATGTTCCATTACTTTACATTATTTATTTATTTTACATCTTCATGCACTTATGTATATCAGCGGACTTAATGCCCTGGGCAGTCTCTACTCGCCAATTTTTAGGTGGTGTTTACAATTGTAATTACTGATTATAATATTATTTTTTTAATAGAAAACTAAGCAAAATTTACAAATATTGCACAATTGCACATATGAATTATAATAGAGTACGAATTAACATTACATAGGTACTCAAAATGAAAATTATTTTTGCCTTGTCACGTCGGCGACATTTACATAAACACAAATTATTATCGTTTTGCTTCAGAAATGGACGGATGGCAAGCAGATGCTCGGCTTCGCGTAGCACAATTATTATGCTGGCTCATTTTATGTGCTGAAGAGGGGTCCACTCAGCACGCCCAAACTATCGTTAAAGCGATGCTAAGAGGAGCTGGTGACGAAGATAATAGAGTTATTCTCGAGGTATACCCAAAAGCATTTGTAGAATGTAGAAGAATTAGAAAAGTTGAACACACAATGACGAAATAAATTACTGCAAAATATCTAAAACCGCCTGGGATTGAGCTGCTTATTCTGCACATGCTGTGTCTTACTTTCAATGTTTATTTCTGTCTTTTATTTTTGTTTTTATTTATATTAAGGTGGGTGGACCATGGAAGGCCACGCTCCTTGTTAAAAAGTCGTAGTTATTGACATTTAAAGACATATTCCTTCTACTACATACTACGATCCATCAAACTGTAGGCCACATACGCGGCGGCGAGTCGCTCGCGCCGCTATTGTGGCAGTGCGATCTCACGCTTCGTACACTTCGGTCGTCGACATTACAATTGTTATTCGCGCGCACAGCAAAACGTAAGTTTTTAGTTAAATAACCTATTGTTTCCTTATATTTTTTACTGAGAATTGTCGTGTAAGGATATTTTTATGGAACTAAAGAAAAAAAAAAGAAATTGCCTCGATTTAAGTGAAAATATTGGTAGTGTTCCTAGGAAACCCGGTGGTTCCTTATAAGGCCAATCAAAAATTTGACGGTTGGCCTTGCTAGGGAACATGGGCCTTACATCTATAAACCATGAACATATGAACACTTATTATGTAGTTATAAATACGTACCGTTAAAGTTAAAACAATGTTTTATATTTATAATTTTTTTTATGGGTTTTCTAACTTTTAAACTCAGATTGAATAGACATTTTTTTTTAATATAATATTTATTACTACTAGTTTTAAATAATTTCCATTAATATACTTTTAGTTATACGATGGTGTTCAAGTAATGTTCATTGTGTTTTTTTATAGATCAAAAAATATATTGTGCATTTAATGTTTCGCTTAAATGAAAGAGCTTATTATGTAGTTTTAGTAAAAGCGGATATATTAATTGTTACAACTCTATTTTTAAGTTGAACGACTGAATTATAATATTGGCCTTATTTGGAGCCCTGTTCCTTGCAAGCCCATTTGGAAGAGCTTAATAAAACTTAAGTTTAATAAATAGTTATTAAAGCTAGGTAAAAAAAAGTGATTTCTATGGTACACAATAAACCAAAGTATGCCTTAACAATTTGTTTCCTTCATTTATGCAGTAAATATACGAATAAAAAGTGTTTTTCCATGGTCCACCCACCTTATTTTTGAAAATCTCTGAGTTTGTTTCGTCTCAGGGCTAGTCCAGTTAATAAATGCCGAACTCATCTGCTCAAAAATAGTATCACATGCAAAAGTGTTTCTGTAAACTATTTGCAGAATTAACGATTACGGTACTTACTTCATAGCATAAGACCCTTAAAGATTGTTAAGCATATTGTTGTGCTGCTTGTATGACTCCAATGTGTAAACTTAAATGTGTGGACACATAATGTACAGAATTTTTGTAAGCTGTATCATATGATAAGACGTCATGTAACTCTCCTTCAGATCAAACGTACAGGTGAGCTGTTCGGCTACTTCATAAATCCTACTACTTGGTGGCCGCTCCTGGAAGCCGATGTGGACTCATGGCCTGCACTATTGGTGATTGCCAATATTATAAAGGGCTCTCAGGCGGAATTGCTCAAGGAAAAAGTTTTAGAGGAATTGTGCAGAGAACTGGCTGACCCGGATAGGTGCAGGACTAGGAAAGTAAGTGGTTGTGAAAAATCATGTATATGTCACTTACATTAAATCTGATCCCATTTAAGGGCAGCCCCGGATCTACAATTTTTTTCGAACCGGGACTAAAACGTGATAGTAGCGATTCTCTCTCCAGCGTTTGAAATAAATTACTGAAAAACTCACAAATATATAAGTTCACTTGTAGTGTGGCTCTGTGTGGCGCTTTTTTCTTATAAGTCGACGGTGAGCCAATCAGGCTTCCGTATGTTAGGGGCTTTGTAGAGCAAGTTTTTTATTTTTAATCATACTATATTATGATTTTGGCGCTCCCTGAAACTGCCGCTCGGGACGGGTGCCCCGGTCTGCCCCTAGGTCGGGGACTGTTTAAGGGTGAAATTTCCAAAAATTATTTCTTAGTGGTTCCTTACAACGTAAAAAGCATGAGCAGCTAAAATATAGCGGTTTAGGTGTTGATGACTCAGACAGTCAGTTTGGGGCAAGTAATTTTGTATGCATGAATTACAAAATGAACAGATCCAAGTTGTGGGTAAAGAGAAATATATTCGCTTATATTTTTGAACTGTTCTGCAGACGTGGAGGTGGGACCAATTTATATTTGACAAAACGGTTAATTAACTTATGTAAGAGGGAAGTGTCTTGTAGTCATTTGGACATTATATAAATTAAAGTTGAGAAAACTGTTAGTATATAGAAAAGGAAGTGGAGCTTATACTTGTAGGCTATGGAAGCAAAGTGATATTGTTTATATTTTGAAGTACTGCGAAAGTAATATCTCGAATAGCTCCAGGTAGCTTACCTTTGACAATAATTGGCCGTTTTTGGAAGGCCCTCTGAAATTCAAATACAAAATGATAAATTATTAAGTTAATCTATAAATACAAAATGAATTGATACTTTACAGCCAAAATACCAAACCGAACTGCTGCATGTTTGCGAAGCTCTAATGGATGTGTGCGGCGATGCTTGTACGGCGGTTGCAAACGATCTCTTCACTATAAACTTTACCGTTTATGCCATGCCGTATGATAACCAGATACAGTTCATGGCAATATGTAAGTACCTTGACCATGGATTTTAAAACTATGTCCGGCGAGCAATTACGTGACAAACGCAAGTGAAGCTGCGGAAACGTCTAGTTAATAAAATGCATATAATTCGAGTGCACGGATGGCGTAGTGGTTTAAGTGATCACCGGTTCCTACTGCGTTGAATGTTGTGGGTTAGATCCCACGTGGGACAACAACAACAAACGATAGGATGTATTCCTAGTGCGGGCGTTGCCTTAAAAAAAATGAAAAGAAGTACATATATGAGACTCCGTAAAAACTAAGAAATAGGTATAGTAGCAGTTTATAATGTTAAAGTATGAGAATATCCGTGTGGTTACAGATTAAGAATACAGACTGTCACCACCCCTATTCATCCCGTGCGTGTCGTAAGAGCCGACTAAGGGATTAAACTACGCAGGACAACAGCACTGTAGAGAGAAGGAAAACTTGACACAAACCCTATACTAACCCGTCTGGCCAGCGTGCTATAGTAGGCCAAATCCTCCTTTCTAAGGAGAGGCTTATGTCCAGCAGTGGACTATTATAGGCTGTTGGTGTGATGATGTGATGTTATGAGAATATTAATTGGTAAAGACAGAAAAAACTAAGAAATAAAAAACTAATCCTTTGGAACTCATGTAAAACCTATTTTTAAGTTTTCAAAATAACAAAAAAAGTGCAAATAAAAAATCGCTTAGAATAAACTACTTAAATCAATCCTTGATTATTGCTTAAAAGTGGGAAATAAAATGATGATGACGATACAAATGGGAAAACCCTAGAATTTACTTTGCGAACATTTGTAGACTTATTAAGGGGTTAAATAGAAGAGTACAGCAATGAGCTGTCACATTCTACTTCTAGGCGTGCAAAACATCAGAGCTGTATAAGAGTTCTGTCAAAGCTTTCGTTACCGTTTACGCTTAGTCGGATTATATGTTTATTGTGTTGTGTCTTTAGGAACTCGACCAGTATTACCTATATCTTTCAGCTAACTTAGACAAGCTGCGTTATATAGAAAAATGCGGGAAGACTCTGACCACCTTGTATGAGAAGCATATCGGTAGAATACTGGCCGGTGTCACTAGCGACGCTCTCACATGGAGTATACTCACACCAGATAGATGTTTGCTGGAGTGTGTGATGTTGCACTCTGGTAAGTACCTACATTTTGTCCTCTCTATTTAAAGCTAGCAAGCTTTAGTTCAGAAGGTAGTAAATCTTCAGTTGTAAATAAGTTATTATTAGCTGTTTTACAAAGTGAGGGCAAACAAACAGATCGGTCACCTGGTAGTAAATTACTACTGTCCATGGGCAGCTGCAACTCAAGATGAACAAGAACGCTGCAACCTTTTGAGTGCTCCTCTTAAATTTGGGGGGGTTGTTGTGTAGTGTTGTTGTTTTTGACTGCACTGATGGCGTAGTAGTTTAAGCGCCAGACCGCTTTCTATTGCGCTGAGTGTTTTGGGTTCGATCCCCACATGGGGCGACACTTTGTGTGATCCACAAATTGTTGTTCTGAGTCTGGGCGTTCTTTGTGTCCGTTTCATGTAAAGTCCTCCGTGACACAGGATATATTCCAAGTGAGGGCGCTGACTTTAAAAAACAATACGTAACGCTGGTTAGCTGAAAAAAAGTAAATCTGATATAGATTTCTTATTATTACTTACATGTTAAGAACACACTTTATGAGAAGGCTGAAGATAAATTCCATTCGAAATCTAAAATCGTTCGTAAGTTATCTTACAGATTAGTTCTTCGAACGGTTAGAAAGTATTTGCTATCATTGTTTTCTAAGTTTATGAAATCTGACTTTTAATTCTTCTTGTTCTTTTCAGGATCAGCTATGGGTGCTCAACTGCATCTAATAGCGCCTCTACTGAAGGAGTCCTTGGCGCCTTCCAAGGTAGACCCGGAGGTTAAGTTGAAGATCTTCACGACGCTGTCCACGGTACTTGTACAGCGGCAGACCAACTTTAGGAAGTGTGACACCGATAAATTGGAAGCATTCCTGAATATTGTTATTGAAGGTACGAGATAAGTAATTTTATGGGACTAATTCCTTTCACAAATCCACCATTGTAACGCCAGTATACCAGGAGCAACAGCAGTGACCCACGAAAACACTGAGTTATGACACTAGGTAAGTTCCAGGAAAAATTAAACTGTCTTGGAACCCGCAACGAAATAAGAAAATTATATAGCAGGAGATATAATAAATCCACTTCCCTCCTTAGCAAGCGGGAGAGAGAAATGAGACGAGATGAGAACGTGGTTCATCTTAGGCTAGTAACGAAGCTCGATGGGAGATCTAACGAGGAAATTTTTCACAGAATTTACCCAATCTTATACCCACAGAGGTGATACTCCCGAACCTGGTGTGGACCGCTGGACGGACGGCTGAGGCTATCAGAACTGCTGCAGTTGCCTGCCTGTGCTCTGCTCTCCAGGACAACCCGCCTATTGATGACGTACTCATAGCTGAGCAAGGTGGTGATGGGGATACGGGCGATACGGTAAGAACATTATTTTTTTAAATCTTTAGGCGGTATTTACATTTTTTATTCATATGTCTAAATCGGTCAGGTCCGGTCAAACGGATTTATGACCGATATCATTATCGGGCCATTTTAGCAATGGTTTTGTGCAGTTTGTTTCCCCCTTCTTCTCATAAGACTTCTTGTAAACGAGCGGTTATAAGATCGGCACATGCATACAATGGATTGGATTCATTTTGCTAAATATTTAACAAAACAGATTCTTGCTTTTGTGTGTGTTGATTTATGACATTAAAAATAAAATAAAAGACGATTTCAAATTATTTTTAATAAATTTAATGAGATAAAGATATTTTGACTGATAAAATCTGGATATCTAGAAAATTTCATCACCAACAGGAAGTTAACCTATTCCCAACGAAGGAATCTCTAGCACCATTCCTGGACAAAATGGTGCCTCTTCTCGTTGGTCTGGTGGATGATAATTCGACATTGACTAGACAGCACGCGCTTAGGGCCATCTGCTGCCTCGCGACCTTGGCTTCTAGGCGATGCTGTTTCACTGCGGAAATACTGCATAAACTCTACTTTGGTAAGCATATAACATTGTAAACATACTAATAAGTTTATATTAATCCTTTACTGGTTGCAAAACTTTAACCTTGTAATGTGCTAGCATTTGGTTATTGGCAGTTGTTTCTTCGAAAATTGTAATTCTGTGATACAGCGAGTGAAAAACAAACAAAGTAATTAGTGCGAAGAATAGCCAAAAGTACAAGCAATCTCTGAGAATCGTTATTAATACCAAACCATTTTGCCTATTGCCATATTTTAACTAAACTCGTCCGTGTAGTGACGGATTAAGAATACAGAGTGTCACCACCCCTATTCATCCCGTGGGTGTCGTAAGAGCCGACTAAGGGAGAAAACTATACGCAGAATAACAGCACTGCAGAAAGAAGGAAAACTTGACACAAGCCCTATACCAACCCGTCTGGCCAGCGTGGTATAGTAGGCCAAAACCTCCTTTCTAAGGAGAGGCCTATGTCCAGCAGTGGACTATTAAAGGCTGTGGATATGATGATGTGTGAACTAAATCATGTCTATTTCATGTAAAAAATTATGTATTGATGATGTAGTCACGAACTCCGCACCCGTCATAAAATTTAAATTTTTAACCTGGTGAATAAATGTCAGGTGTCGTGAAGCGTCTAGACGACAGCAGTGACAAAGTGCGGTCGTACGCTGTACAGACTCTGTGCGCGTTGTTCAGCCGCCGGCCCGAGCCGTACGACACGGTGCTGTACGGCGCTCACATCGACGCGGTGTACAGCGCCATGCTCATACACCTCGATGATACTGACGAAGGATTCCGGAAACAAATGCTTGGTGAGTGTTACACTTCTTCGTCTGTTGTTTGTATGTCGTTAGCGGATGATGGATCCTTACTCGTTTGATATTTTATTATATTTGTTGACTGAAGCAACTTGGTCACATTTTCATATCGCAGTTGTTAGTTAATACATTGCTTGTTTTATTATTATAATACTTTGGGTACCTTTTTATAGTTAAATATTTGCTTGATGGAGTAATGAACCGTCCTTGTTTGAAATTTGGAGAAAAAAAATAAACACCTATTTAGCGATGAAGTGACTGAGAGTTTTAATTCACATTGTATTGTGCACCTACTGATTTACTAATTAGGAACGTAAAACGCAAACGTCTTACGAGATTTATTTTCATACATTTACTATGCCTACACGTCACCTCTAAGCGAGGACTGACGCAGTCGTTTTACATAATAATAACCCGTGCTAGATTGTGTTTTTTTAATCGTATATTATATAGTCCCCTTGTCTAGCAGTGGACTGCTAGGGGGTGTTGATGATGACGAATCGGCTATGGCTTAGAAAACGACAGTTGAATGAAGAAAGAGAACCAGATGATTTCTAAAGTACGCAATAGTTACACGGATTTCGTGCTCTTATGGTGCTCTCGCCTTTGATGCATATTATTCATACTAAGTTCACATAATAATTGCTATCAGCTGGTAACCATTTTCTAAATCATAAATTATTAAAAAATGTCGTCTACTGTACAGTCTGTTACAATTATATTCTTTGTGTTACAGAGGCTCTGATAAAGCTCAGCGACATAGACCCGCCGCTTCTTATGAAGAAAGTGAAGTCGAATATTCATATTTACAGGAATAAAGCGGCTTATGAACGATTATCTAGTCACCTTGAAAAGTTATTACTTACTACGGCAAATAATTCTTAAGTTTTTATTGTAGTTCTTACAATTATGATTGTGATTTTTATATTCGTGTGTGAGCTTCCCACGCAATAATGCAATATTAATTTATACAATGTGCACTTACAAATTTTAATGTTAAAGTGAACGATTATTGTTTTAATACTTTTAATTATGGAATTGCCTTACTTTAGTTAATTTTATTTGAATAGTGTGAAGGGTTGAATAGTTTATTTGTTATATTTACACGTGGTTAAGGAAGGAATACGCTTGTTTGTTTTACATAGAGTGAAATAAAGTTTTACCATCTTAATGTTTCTTTTATTTGCTTATCTTTTTAATCCATTATTATAGACCTAGCGGTAGAGTTTAATGTGAAACAGAAACACAAACAAGAACACCGGTGGGTGGTATCCGAGGGGATTGCCGCACAGAAAAAAAATGGGTTCTTTGTGTCCGTTTCGTGAATGTTTGTGAAGTCCCCGCGACACAGGATATATTCCTAATGCGGGAGTTGTATTAGTGTTGCATGTGTTACCCACTTTAGGTACCTAAATCAAATGGTACTTTTAATAGGTTTGGAGAAAATGTAAGATGTGTAAAACAGAAAAATAACAATAAAAAAATATTTGTTTGCTTTTGTGACGTAAATTATTTAATCCTAATTTGACAAGCACTTAGCTCTAAAGTAATATGTAGTTTTTTCAAAGATTCCATTAAAAAGAGCTTACTTGGCGCATTCTTCTTAGTTGGATTTGAATTATTGGGAAGTTTTGTCTAAGTTACAAACACATTTATCGTTTTTTTTTTTTTTTTTTTTCTTTTATTATTTAGGGGTTTTTATCCTTTCGGATATGACAACCCCATTGTAACAATTTTAACTTACATTTAATAACATAATTATATATACAATCTTAAACTTACATCATAGAGGAGTCATTGCGGGCTTAGTCATGTGACGGAGTATCTTTGCTCCATTAGATGTAGGTGCAGACAGAATCATTTGGGGGATTCCTATGTCACATGGGTTTAGCTCCAATACCTCCATGAGAATTTCCCTATCCCTACGGTTTTTGACACATTCCATCAAAACATGTTGTACATCTTCCTCTACCCCACACACATTACAATTTGGAGAATCAGTTCACATTTATCGTATAGGTATGGTTTTTCTTCGACACTTAGCCAGGGGAATTAAAATATAGTCAAAATAAAAAAAAAATGGTAGGAAATGTGATCTTATGTAAGAAAATAAAATATATATTTTTTATTTATGTACATTTAGGTAAAAACTATATAGAAAATTAAAACATTCTAAAATGTCAGTTGCCCTACTTCTTCTAGCTCCACTATACTTGGCATTTATGGACTATGAGAAAGCTCTTGATTCGATCGAGACTTGGGCTGTGCTACAGTCTCTCCAGCGGTGCCAAATCAACTATCGGTGCATCGAAGTGTTGAAGTGTTTGAACGAGAACGCTTGTGTGTCAGAATCCTACCCATTAACAGTGGTAGAGATGTAATATCTCGGAAACTGTTCACCGCGGCACTGGAAGACGTCTTTAAATTTTCAGACTGGAATGGACTTGGCATCAACATCTATGGCGAATATATATCACGCACCTTCAATTTGCTGATGATATAGTTGTCATGGCTGAAACCACGGACCTTAGTACAATGTTCGATGACCCTAGTAGGGTCTCTAAACGAGTGGGTTTTAAAATGAACATGGATAAGAAGAAAATTATGTCAAACGCTATGTCGCACCCACTCCTGTGAAAATTGGTGACTACTCTCGAAGTTGTTATCGATTACGTTTACTTATGACAAACAATTCGGTTAGGTAGATCCAACTAAATAGAGGTCAATCGTCGCATTCAACTAGTGGCCAATCTAGTGCGTTAGTGCGTTCGGGAAGCTGCGTGACATTTTAATCGGCTCTTATGACACCCACGGGAGGAATAGGGGTGGTGACACTCTGTATTCTTAATCCGTCACCACACGGAGTAACTACACTAAATATATAAATATTACTAGTATATTTTTGCTTCAATATTTATATTTTATCGTTTGTTTAGAAAACATTTTAGAAGCAACACCAAGGGAATAAAAAGTGTGTTTTGTTACAGACTTATTAAAACAATAATAACTGTACATTAATATTAATTACACTAATCAAGAGGTTCCATCAATGTCTATCCCTTTATAATACATAACAAGTCCTAGAAACTGAAATCATATTTTGTATAAGGCCAGGGTATAAGTACTGGAGCCTTAAAGAAATATTTAAGAGCAATATGCCAATCAAACTGAAGACAAAGCTCATAAATTCTACCTTATTCTAGCTTTCTAGCCTACCGTGCCTGATCTATGCTTGTCAAACGTGGAAGTTGAACGACAGCGAGGAATGGAGCGGAGTATGCTAAACATAAAAAGAGTAAATGAAATAAGGCATACAAAATACGCAACAACACAAAAGCAACAGACGGTTTAACACAAACTCATGCATTAAAATGGAAGTGGCCCGGACACGTAGCACGCCTGCGAGATCAAAGGTGGACAAAAAGAGTGACAGAATAGAGGGGGCCAGTGAGCAAAATTAAGAAAGGGAGACCTTCCACTAGATGAAAAGAAAATTTTCTTTGTTTTTTCTTGATACTAACAAATTAACTTGTGAACTAAAAATTTCTGGCAGAAATAAAAGGCTTTTTTATTTATAAGGTCAGGGTAATCAATGACATAGTCAAACAAAGCCAGGAAAATTAAACACATAAATTAGTAATTTCAGCCATCAGTAGCTTGAGGCAATGCCGAAATCCACGACATTTGAAGCACATCTAGCGTAAGCACACCGTGAGTGATCTAAACGCCTCCAACATTCCACTAGTATATATTACACTACGGGTTATTTTAAGGACGCGCAAGTGGAATGAACGTAAAGCCCTGCACAAAATTTAAAGGCAGTTATGATATAAAAAGTTTTTTTTTTCAAACAGTGACTAATGTCTATGTTGATGAAATTTATTAATTATTTATTTAACAGTTACAGTTGGTTATTATTTATACAAAATGAAAGCAGGAAGCGCCAAGGATGTCAACTTTCACGACTTTCTTATATTTTATCGACAACTGACACAGACACCATAATTAAACCCTTTCGAGATTCATTTTACCCGGCGTGGTACTAATTCGGTTTTTTAAATATTACCTATCTATGTTTGCTTCTGGAAGACACTTTATTTATCTATGGTCTTGAAGAAAAAATATTTAAAAAAACATTATTAATTTAATGTCAATTGTCAATAATGCACGTTCTGTTTGTTGCACAGTTATTTGGCTATGAGTAACTGTTTTATCAAGGATTCTATTTGGATTCACTGCATATACATTTCAATTTTCTTATTGAAAAATAATATTTAAAAACAAAAAATATGGAAGTAGTACGAAAGAGTGAGTATATTTCGTCAAAACACCATCAATATTTGCGCGGCAAATGTTCAGGGATATAATATTTATTACAGATTTTAAGGATGTATTACCTCAAGTAAGTGAATCTATAGAAAAAGCTGACTATATAGCTATTGATGCTGAGTTTACGGGACTTATAAATGGTCGGGACGTGTCGGTGTTCGACTTACCCGAGGATTATTTTACTCGTCTCTTGGCTGGATGCAGTGAATTTATGTTGATACAGTTTGGATTGTGTGCCTTTTACTGGGACGAGAAGAGGCAGCATTACATGAACGATGCATATAATTTTTATTTATTCCCGCGTGGGCGGCCCGCTCCGGAAAGAATGTTCCTTTGTCAGAGTTCTAGCTTAGATTTTCTAGCCTCTAATGGATTCGACTTCAACAAGTTAATAAAAGAAGGTGAGTAGTACCCAATACTTGTACCTCTATGATATCTAAGATCGAATGAATCTAAAATAATTAGTTATTTTTAATACATTCAAATAAGGTTTTTAATTCCAACTAGAATCTGTTTAGTGTGACCGGTGGACTCCCAATGGGGATACACTACTGAAATTACTCTTCATATTATGTACCTGTTGTGTCTGTATGACTATTTACTCTAGTAATGAAAATAAAATAAATATTCATTTCTAATAACACTCAGATACAATTTTATTTATTGTAAATAAAAACAATTTATATCTACATTGTAACTTGATTTACAGGCTAAATCTAATTCTAAATAGAAATGTAATTTAATGTTAGTAATATGAGTTGATTTATCTTCGCTTTGGTTTCTGTAATTTTGCCTATGCAAAATTTTAATAACGTAAAAATGTTCAACTGAACAGTGCCATGATAAATATTAAATATTTTAAAACTATTGATTTAACAAAAGAGCAGTGACATTGAGTGCTAGATTTCTTCCAACAAGGCTTAACTATCTGGGAATTGATTAACCTAAATGCCGCCTGTAAAGTGCCTTCACCGGTGAGCGCTGAGATAATCAGATAATGAGCTTAAGTATGTGCAACGCCATATTGTTGATAATTTATTGATGCAATATTTAAATTTATGACAAAGCAACATATTGTTGCAGTGTCCTTGTAAAATGTAATAATAAAAAAAATGGGTAACTGAATTTTGGGGACATAATTGATTTTGAGGCTTCTGCCTATGCTGTACTGTATGAACTAAAAGAACCAGCTGCTGCTTCCGCGGATACTTCATTATGTGTAAAGTACCCTAATTTATTTCCTTAAATAAACAAAGTTTTGGGCTACTCATTGAACCATTAACCAATATTCATCACTGTCATAGTTAAAGTCCTATGAAAATCATCAATTTCAAAAATTGATAGTCATAACCAGATTAGCGGAAAGATTTTACTAGTTTTTTTGGTGTACAAGTACTTTGTAGACATTCAAATGCATTTATTAAAAGCTGTGATTATAACATTACAAATAGATTGGAATGCACTGTATAAGAGCACTCATTATCAATAACCATCAACAGTTAATGTCCCTGTTAGTGTAGTGGCTTCTCCCAGGATGAAAATACAGGCACTCGAAACCGGCATCTTCGAGCCACTGCAGTTTGAGTCCTGTTTCCCTGTCCCAGGCTTGCAGTATGCCTTACATAAGTCCAGATTTCTTTACCTCAATTGACTTGATTCTTCTGTCCCGTCTGAAAACAATAACCCAGAAAAGTTATTGAATAGCATGCTGCCGGACATAAAATAAACCAGCCAAAACCTTACAATGTTTCATGAGGCACCGACCCTGAATAAAATGAATGAATATGTTTTTTTTTCTGTAAGACGAACTTTGTAATAATGATTTGCAAGTTAAACGATTGAGTTTGTATGTTATAAATTTGTTTGGAACTCATTTTTTGTGGGTAGTTAGATATTAAAGGGTGTAAGTACCTACATATATTCACTATCTTATTACTTACCTATCTCTTATAGTATAAGTGTTGAAAAATAGTAATAATTGTAACTTGCTAGGTTCAATATAACATCAAAAATTAAATAAATCATATTACATTCACTGCCAGTCCACACAATTCCTGTTTCCCCGCTCTCTTCTCTTAAACACTTTTTCGCTTGCATATAGAATATTTAGGCAAAATATAAAATTAATAATATTTTTAACATTTCCTACACATTTTAGGTATGCTATACAATGCCTAGTTAGGTATTATGGTAATATATATTAGTATATTTTTTTCTTTGTTAAAAAAAAAATGTAAATAGTATTAAAATAGCTCTGATAACATTAACATCTATAATATTGGCAGTGAAATGCTATTTAATTTTATAATTAGGTAAACCTCTAGTTATTGATTATTTAAGTGTGCCCTAATTGTGAGAGTTGCACTATATATGTAAATTATAAAAATCGCCTGTTTCGTGTCAGGTTCAAATCAGAGTTTTTGTTTTTTTTTTCAATTATTAGTCCATTATATATACTTAATTACACTATTGTTAAACCTTACAGGTATTTCATACATGACAGAGTCAACAGAGAGCAGGCTTAGAGATAATTTGACTGAAAGACAAATTAGTTATTCAAATAAGAAAGATCCTCTCAGAATTCCCGATGAAAACAAACAACAAATTGAAGATATTTGGTAAAAGCATTTGGTCTTGAGTGCATGGAATGTATTTTATATGTTAGTAAATGTGGTGTATAGTTTACTGGTTTTATAACTTTGGTTTTAACTTTAACACTTTTCTATTCCCTCATCCGCCATACTCACCAGACCTTGCACCTACCGACTATTACTTTTTCCAAAATTTAGACAACTTTTTAGTGGGTAAAAAATTCAATTCCCGAGAGGCAGTACAAAATGCCTTTGAAGAGTTTGTTGCCTCCCGTCCAGCTGATTTTTACAAGAAGGGCATCAATAAACTGCCAATGCGTTGGCAAAGATGCGTCGATTGCATGGGTGATTACTTCGAATAACAGAAATAAAAAAGTTTGAAAAAATAAGTACTTTCACTTATTGCATACAAAACGACAATTTCATAGGTAAAGACCTATTATATTGTACACATGGATGGACATGTACATTTTGGTGTTACAATAGGCGGTCTTATAGCACACGGCAATCTCTTACAGACCACATAGTCTGTAGTGTACTTTATAATACTCTAGATAATTAAAAGATATAATCATAAACCTACTAAATACGTTTCCAATATACATACTACTAAAACATATAAATACATACGTAAATAAGTAATATATTAATCGTTTTTAACCTATGACATCCCAAGCATTAATAACAATCAATATCCCTTCAACAACCCTTATATCATTATTATTAATTACAATACTTATACTGGTTTCTAAAGAAATACTTAATGAACATCCTTTCAAAGTCAAAGATTGCCATTCTCCAATTTTTGGCCTATTATCTAAACTAAGAACCTTAGTTAAATTATAATTTTACCGAATTCCGTTTTTAACATAAACTTCTGTTATTTCTTCTAATTGTATCTAATCACTTATTAATATCTACTAAACAAAACGTAGCCTATTGATGAAGGAAATAAATGAATGTTGTTAAATCCACAGCAAGAAGGTTAAAGCCTTCATCGATGACAAAACATCGGATGAGATGGAGATAGATAGAGTCAATGCATTTATAAGACTGTTACTTTTCCAAGAGTTGAGGGGGCGCTTCAATGATGAAATACTTGTCGACACCAAAATTTTAGACAACAAGAACAGGTAAAATCCTTTTTTATCATTTTATCCAAATCATTCACTGAAAAATAAGAAAAAGATCGAATTATATTTGCTAATGTTTATTATTTGTCTATACTCTTCCATCTATAGGATTAGTTAGGACGTATTACACTAAGCACTTTCTTAATGTAGAGATACTAGAGAACGTGATCAATGCATGTATCAAAAACACGCTTTAAATGATTATTGAACGATGCTCTAACTTATTCAGCATAGAGGGTTCTATAATGTAAAGAAGGCGGCCTTAAAAGAGAAAAATATATAATTACCAAAAGAAAACTGTACCAAAAGAGTTATGCCCTTATTTCAGAAGCTGTAGGTTTTCTAGTTGATCTTTGTGTAAAATACGTATTAAATTATTATTAATATTTAAGATGTTATTTAATATTTAAGAGTGCACAAATATAGCTAACAGCATTAAAAAATAATTGCTTCCAAATCCTATTGTAATTATTAAAGTCCATTCGCGTTAACAAAATAGTGACGCATCGATCAAGCCTCGCCCCATGACCATCAGGGCCTCAATTCTGTTATTTTAAGTTAACGCCAAGCCACTGCCACATTGACATACCATTGAGACGCCGCATTGACAACGCCGCAATTCAAAATATCGGTATTCTACTTACATAAATTCACAGTGTCAATAGACTGTCGACATAGTAATATAGTTCATCAATGGTGATATCAACAACATTGTCATACCTGGAAAATTAAATACATAATTTTCTTACAAATTTAAAATTTACCGTTAACCAAACTTTTACAAAGACATCGACGACATTTGTATCAACGACTAGTCATCGGGAAGCCATAGGTCTTACATAGTTAGTAGAATAGGAAAAGTGCGTAGTTGTAAGTAAGTAGTATTCCGACGACATTCTATCGACAGTCTATAGATACAATATTAAAATAGCGGAATTGAGGCCCAGGTTCAAAGAAATTATAGTTTCGCATAAAAGCTTGGAACCTGAGTGGTCAAGGTGCGGGGCTTGTTCGATGCATCACTATTGCGCGCACTTTTTTCTTAATGCGCATGGTCTATAGTACTAGTGTGAATGCTCTATAGTACTACTCGTAGTATATCGTGGGTATAATAAATAATAAAAAATTTCAGAGTCTTGAAAATTACAAGGCGAAAACCAGATATGGAGATGGAGGACCACGATGCCGTTAGGAAAAGGAGGGAATGGGATGAGTTAGAAGATGCAGTGGGCTTTTCTAGAGTAGCACGCATGATAAGTGACTCTGTAAGTCCATTTTTAAATAATAATTGCTTATAATAATAATAATTTATTTCAGAATTTCTTTTCCATATTTTGTTAGTAATAATTTGCTTACATACTAATGTTAGTATAAGTTAAATTTAATAAAAACAAAAACAATTCATATTACGGCATGTAGCCACATCGGCGCATCATCGGCGTCTCCCGCTGATCTGTGAACAACTGTGTGTCAACTTGCGCCTCTGTAAACATACCTGATGCGCTGCACCTCCACCCCAGCCCCCACAGCACCCTAAGTGCGTTATTGTATTGAACACGCAGGTCGCTGTATGCCCGCCCACCATAACTTACCCACAAGCTATAGTTAAACCGCCGTAAGCTTGGCCCTCCTGATGGTTTGCGGGACGCGGGGCGGGTGATGCGCTCGGCTATACATGACACGATGTACTAACTCGATATCTTCAGATTTATTTGTTTGAGATTTAATCTACACACGATGTTATAAAAATCGAATTAATTTCCATGTATTATAAATAATCAGTGTAATGTAAGTTTTTATGATTAATTGTAAAATTTAATACTGTAAAATAATTTTAATAAAATCACCTTATCTTCATCATGTAAATTATATTCAGATACAATTTAAAAATTAAGTGAAATAATAAATATTCTTTATAGAACTTTAACAGTAGAACCTCTGTAAGCCGAACTTCAAGTTTTTAAATCTTTTTCTGACGCAGAGTCGGCAGATTATCCATGTTGCAAAATAATACCGTGTGTAGCAGTCTTAAGAAAAATAACACGTACAACCTTGCTTTCACGTCAGTCACTGCCGGCGGACAGCGACGCACAAGCTAATTGGTTGAATGCACCCCCGCCCCGCGTCCCCCAAACCATCAAGAGGGCCAAGCTTACGGCGGTTTAACTATACACGTGTAGAATGACTGGCAGTAGGCTTTAAATAACGTAATCTATACTGCATACGTACAACGTGCAAACCTTCGAGCCAGCATGTTACAACGGACAGCCAGCGACCTGCGCTCCCTATCTATGTCTAGATTATCATTTAAATCTTCGGTGACCCAGTGACCCAAGTACTTTAACTTATTACATTGCTTATATTGCCATACTTTTGAATATTTTGAATTCTCTTACGATCTATCATTCACTGAACGCTAGTTCGCGAAGCGACAGACCGGCTGTCTTTTAACGAGGCGTTGTACAAAAACATAAGGACATCACCATCACATGTCTTTACTGTGGGTCCAGGAATTATAGCCCGTCTCGCCCGTGGCGCTACGTAAAGCGGATTTGCCTCCATTCCTCGCAACCAGGTTTGCTAAGCCGGATCCTTCAGTAGAACAGTAGTAGAATACGACCTTGTCAACGGTCACTACCGGCCATGGAGCGTAGAATATTCTGACTCCATCCTCGTACCAGCTACACTTAGATTGTGATCAACTCAAATTCATTTATTTATTTATTAAGGCCTATTTACAGACTAAACACAAACATTTATACACGTAATTGTTTCAAACTGAGTTCTTCTTCTTCTTTCTTTAAAAAATACAACTCCCGCATTAGCAATATATCCTGTATCGCGGGGGACTTTACAAACATACATGAAACGGACACAAAGAACACCCAGACTTAGAACAACAATTTATGGATCACACAAAGTGTCATCCCATGTGGGGTTTGAACCCACAACACTCGACGTAGTAGGAAGCGGCGTGGCGACCGCTTAAACCACTACGCCATCCGTGCAGTCAGTTCAGTACTTTAACCGCTATGTATGTATAAATGTATGTATGGTTATATATATGTGTATGTTTATCAGCATTCTGGTTACCATAGCACAGGCTCTGCCTAGTTTGGGACCGGACTGCCGTGTGTGAGATGTGTTAAGTTATTATTATTAAGTTTTTATCCTTTTAAGGATTAATGACATTATGTGTTGACAGGAGAAGCTTGTGATCGGTCACAACATGCTGCTAGACGTAATACACACGTTAAATCACTTCTTTCAACCGCTAACTGCTGATTACAATTCTTTCAAAGAGTTCGCACACTGTATGTTCCCCAAGTAAGTCTTCTTTAATTATATTTCTGCAGCATAGTGCTTTTCCACGTATTCTGATTGCGATCATGAGGTTTTCTAGGTTCGTTTAGCATAAACGACAGAAACGAAAAAACTCACTTATTGGAAAACCAAAAGAATTTTAAATACCCCATTGTATAGGGAAACAAGTATTTTTATGTAGTTTAACTTAATACAAAATAAGGCAATACTGCAGGGCTAATATAAGCTTGATTATAGATATCAGTTAAAAAATCGATATCCTATAGATATCAATTAAAAAATAATACTTGTAAATGGTTCTTCTGCAAAATGATAAATAATGAAATTTTACTTTTGTGCGATATATTTGTTAGTATACATCACATAAACCGGAATAAGTTTTGTCGGTCATTTGTGTCGGTCTTAGCGAAGTAGTCTTGTCATTGATAACATACGCTGAACTTTGGTTCAATTTTCTTGGTCACATTGATCAGCATCCTAATATTAATGCCTTATATTATTAATTTAAAAACTGCAGACTTCCATCGCACGTGGGAACCTCTAAATAAGATATATTTTCACACACCTGTTTAGATTTTTTCGCATCGACACATGATTCTCTCTTCCGTTAGGTAGTACAAATTTTCTTGTATTTAAATTGTATATTATTTCAGGTTAATAGATACAAAATATATGTCAAGTTTGCCACCGTTCAAAGACAAGTTGAATTCAAGTGTGCTACAAGAGCTAATGGCTACCCTAGCAGAACCGCCGTTCACAATACCCAAAGTCGGTAAGTTGTTGACCTTTCAACACTCGCCTGCATTTTGTGATGTCCTGATCATGGCCTACGCAGCCCATGATTAGAATAAAATCATTTTTTGGTAGTGGTAGTCACTTACCAGTCTCACAAAGGTCAGCAATAAATTAATATTTTGTAATTTATCATAGATTTTAAGTTAAACTTTGTGAAAGAAAAATAAATTATTATTATTAAAAAAGAATAAGAACAGAAAACCATCCTCTGACGGTAAGCGACTATCACCGCACATGGATACCAGTAAACACGTACGTAGGTTAGAGTTACTACTTATTCACGCGTTGTTGCCAATAAGCTGTTTTCAGAAGATGCATAAAGACCCTATTTCGCCTATTTAACAGTAAATCTAGTAATTAGTTTATTGTATATAGCTACCATTCCCTACATAATAATTAAGAAAATACTAGATTTACTGTCAAATAGTGTCTAACCTAACCTACGTATGCAAATATTGAATGATAAATCACATGTCGAGACACTCAGAAGTAATAAGTGCGTCGCCGCCCTTGAGTCCCCCCCACAATCGGACGAGGGGGCGAGTTTGGGCTTTGGTAACTCGCTCAACATCGGTTTTTGTGAGGCCGTGGTATCACTCTGGTCGAGCTCGGTCCATTTGTGACGAAGCATGACTCTCCTACGGTGATCTTGGAAACTAGCCAAAATTATCGCCTGCGGTATTTCTGGACCGATACGATCGTTAAATCTTCAAGAAAAGAGCGTACCTACCTCAAAGGCTCCAATGCGTTTGTGACTCCTAAGTTGCAGGGGTTCGTGGGCGGGGTTAGTCACTTTCCATCAGGTGACCCGTTTTACTCGTTTTCCCCCTCTTCAAAAAAAAGAAAACTAGCTCTATCCAGCAATAAATGTGATTTAATATTGCGCTGGTGGATATCTTTCCATTGAAGCAAAAGTGATCCCTAAATTGTTTCAAATCGGTAAAAGTTTAGGGTATAATAAATTTGTTTTATTGTTATAAATATATACTACAACACAATATTCTTACAACCGGTAAGTAATTGCTATGCAAAAAGTACACTTATTTGTTAAAAGGGAAAGTGAGACAGCCGATTTCAGAAATAATTTAGTTAACATCCGCTCTATACAAATAAATAAAATTGGAGTGTCTGTTTGTAATATTAAAATAACCGCTTTTTACTAAATGCATATGTATGTTTACACGGTACATATGCCAAAATAACATTTTTTACAATTTTTGTCTGCCTGTCTGTTTGTTCCGGGTAATCTCTGGAACGGCTGGACCGATTTCGACGGGACTTTCACATGCAGATAGCTGATGACATAAGGAGTAACTTAGGCTACTTTTTTTAGACTAGCTTTGCCCCGCGGCGTTGCCCGCAGTTATAACAACTACCACCACACGGTAACACCGGGGGTCTCAGCTAGTCGCAAAGTAAATTTACAGTGAATATATAGAATAAGTTAACATTTTGATTAAGTATTTTTATTTTAACATAAAAAAATCATATGTTTTTAAAAAAAAGCATGTTATATTATTACTAGAAATAAGCCGGTATTTTGGTGCGATAATATTGATAGCCGATAATAACCGTTAACTTACCTGACACCTATGTTGTTATTTATGACTTAGGTTGTAAAAACACATGTAATTTTGTTGCAACCCAGGTAGTCGCGAGGGTCGAGGCTATTGCCGGCGAGACGACAAGGTGCACGAGGCTGGGTACGACGCGTATATCACAGGCCTGTGTTTCCTGGGCATGCACGAGCATTTACAGCGCATGCGCGGGGAGAAAGGATCGAGGGTCGTGCCGAGCTCCGCCACCGTCAAGCCCTTCTTAAACAAACTGTTTCTGGCCAAAACTGCGCGGCAGGATTCGCCTTACATCAATCTAACTGGTCCAGATCGTAAGTGTAGTTATAATAAATTACTTTAGTCATAACAATATATCATTACTCGACATTACTATTACATATTTGTCAACATTTGTGTGCATGAACATTTCATGTTTGATTTGATCTGGATGTTTCTTACGTATAATATGTATTTATTTACAAAAAAATAGTATATATAATAATAATAATAATTTAATTTCTCACCACAATATAGTATACATTACATTTGAATAAAACAAAAAATACAAATTATCATTTCCAGAATATTGTGGGTGACTGGTGCCTAAGCTAGGCTCGAGGCCTGTGTTTCAGGACACCAGGTCTCCACCCCGTGTATATTTACATTTTAATAAAAAAATTTTTTTTACACAAGTCGGCACTACAAAGTTGAATGTTTTACTATATTTAATAATTTATATTTCTATTTCTATGTGTTTATATCAGTTGTCTAGTACCCATAGTACAAGCTCTGCTTAGTTTAGGATTTGATGGCGTTGTGCGAAATGTGGTAGAATATTATTATTATTATTATATTTTACCAAATGATGATTAATCAGTCGTGCGTATTCAGTATCATTAGCAAGATATGTATGATGTATAGAATTGTTTCCAAAAATCATAGCATCATCAACAGCCTTAAGATGTCCACTGCTGAACATAGACCTCTGCTTAGAAAGGAGGTTATTGCCTACTATACGACGCTGGCACTTTAACACATATTTAACTTTTTAAAATATGAAAAATTCTACATGGTATTTATATCAGTCATCAGTCAGTATCAGCAGAGCTTGTACTGTGGGTACTAGATCCATAGTTCAAACTCTGCTGAGTTTGGGACTAGATAGCGTTGTTTGAATGTGGTAGAATATTATTATCATCTTTGAACATTATAATCCATCATAACACTTCATTGGCATATCATGTGACTATAACTATGTTTAAAGATCTAAAAGTTAATAGAAGTATATGCATTACCAGCTTTTGCCCGCGGCTCCGCCCGCCTATATGTCGGTTATGTCTTTCCTCAAGAATCAGTCTTCATACCAAATTTCATCTAAATCGGTTTAGCGGTTATTGATTATCCATACAAACTTCCACATCCCTTTTCACCCCCTTAAAAGATGTTTTTTGGGATAAAAACTACCCTTTATCCTTTCCCGGGATTGCCCGGACGATCTATGTACCAAATTTCATTTGCATCGGATCAGCGGTTTAAGTGTGAAGAGGTAACAGATAGACAGACAGAAAGTCAGAAAGACACGCTTTCGCATTTATAATATTAGTAAGTACAATATTAGTAAGGATAGATGGAGAGTATAATATTATTAAAAGAATACACTTCCAGCCTCGCCATCAAGAGATCACGTGTTTCACCTCGCGTTTCCTCGAGAATGGCAACGAAATGAAATTAATCAATTATTCAGCCCGTTTGGTGAGTTACACTACCTCTTAGCATCTGTAAATACCTTGGGATACTAAGTGTAGAAGTTATTTCTTCTATTCCTGAAATTATAAATATGGTCCATTTACCTACAATTAGTTTTGTCTTAAAATCAAAATAGTTATCTATGTAGCTCTGCACCACCACCTTTGTATAGAATGAAAAGAGTAAATATTTAACAATGCTTTTTTTTCAGGAGGGGTATTAGTGCAATTCCTGGACGACACAAGTGCTCTAGTGGCGCTAGATAGGAGGGATCAAGCGAGCGATGTGATGCGCGTGCTCTCACGGCACTCTCGCATCACTCTCACACCATATCAACACTACAAGGTATTATTTTTCTTTTTATACACTTATAATGTGCTAATCAACTTATCACAAAAAGTGTAACTTCCAAGAGACCTTAGTAGCAGAATAATATAAATTGTCTAATAGATTTTTTTACTTTAAATCATTTTGCTGTAAAATATATGACATAATCATGGGCTTCTGTAGAATATAGTAAGTAATAAAAAACAGAATTTCCTTTTTGAATAGACAGGACCTATTCAACCCCGGCATTGGTCAGATCTAAAACTTTAAACAACCAACAAAAATCAACCTCTACTTGGTTATAGGTTAAGGATTTTATGTAAACTAACTGTGTTTCTTTTTGATAGACAGGACCGATTCAACCCCGACATTAGTCAGATCCAAAACTTTTTAAACATTCAAACAACCAACAAAAATCAACCTTTACTGGGTTATAGGTTAAGGGTTGTAATATTAAAAAATTAAAATAAAATTTATTTTTATGGTACTGTACTTGTGTAATGTTAATGTTATCTGTGTTCTAAACAAACAAACAAACAAACTAACTGGGGGCACCACAAATACTAACAAACAATTAAACTCGGGCGCCAGGTGCTCCACCTTAAATGAACACAGACAACCAACAACAAATACAATAAATGTCTCGGACAACTCGGTCAGCGCTAGACTTTTAATCTAGGATGGGGGGCAGCTATTAAATACACAGATGTTAAGTTCAAGTGGCAGTTTATTATCCCGTAGTGTCTGTAGAGTACATGGTATCTTAAGGTTCTAATTACAATATGTAATTCTTATACTCAAATTAGTACTGTCGTCAATGCAATCTGTTTTAAATAAACGAATAAAACAAACTAAAATTAAATATGTTTTAAAGAGTCACATAAAGACTTAATGGAAATGAATCTAAGGGTAGTTGCAGCATCGACCTACTCCCTTAATAAAAATAACACCCCTTAGGGACCTGCAGTATCCGATGCCACGACGCCAACCAAATTAATAAAAAAAACATACCATTGACTTTGGCTCAGTCCGAATGAAATGAAGGCAAATTAAGGCTAATAAATCTCACTCCTGTCCCACGCGGTGGAAGAGGCGGGGTAGTATTCCAAGGTTCCTGATAATGGACTGCAGCTAAACAGCTTTTTCTACCATTATAGGTGCTCCGCAGCAAACTAAATCCTTGGGTCAGGCCGGCAGTGAGGCAAAATCCAAATGTAACGCAATGACATTACAATCCAATAAGTGAACTGAACTAGAGGTTATGAAAATAAGGTATAACAAGAAATTAAGGTTTAAATAAAGTTTAGGTGTAAATTAAAAATTAAGGTATAAACTAAAAAAATTAAGGTGTAAACTAAAAACCCTGTTTCAATCTGAAACAATGAAAATTATAGGTTATTCGCCTATCTCAAAAGAATGAATCCTAAATCCGGCAAGATACAATAATTACTCACCAGGGTTTCAAAACGGTTCACCAACAAAGCAGCGGCATTATAAATAATTCCTGTAACCAAATAAACAAAGATTTAGAACAACTATTCTTCATAAGCCAAGTATGAAGCACGTGGCTTAACAAGACTTACCTTTCCAATGAAAATATCAATTCGAACAAATAACTCGAGTCTTTAACGAGACTGGCCAAACAACAAAATATGAAATATCGTTACAACAACAAAAAGACTACATTTTTAAAAACTATATCTTACTTCGACTCGGACGAAAACCAAAGTGACGCCATCTTGCCTTTTCACTATAACGCGTCCAAATGTTGCCAGAACAAGAAAAACTAAATCGATAAATTACCATAGACGATCAGCACCGACTATTATTCTCGTCCGCGACATCGACCGGAGCTCGCTGAAACTTCATAAAATTCAACTGACAAACTACAAACACGTCGATGATTCAATTTTCTGTAATGGTGCGAAATGCACCGTTACAGGGTATAAGTTTTTATGTTAACTAACTGTGATAGTGGACCTACAATAGAACCTTACGGCACGCCTACTTGCGGCCGTAAGCCTAGTGGACTTTATGACATTATATAGTTATTTTGTTAGGATTGTGATAAAACAGATGCATAGCAGTGCGTTAGTTTTATCAATCTGTGTTAATAATAATAAAATTAATTTTATGGACACTTTTATTATGTGCTTGAGGCAGTCAAATGCCTTTGAAAAAAATATTGTTGTCTTGTTTACAGAAGCTTTTGTTTACAGAAATCGTTGCAGCGCGTGGAGACCCCGCGAGCAGACCCGTACAGACTGACGTTCGTATTATTAGTGTTTATTATAGTACTAATATTTTTGTACCACTGTAGTTATGGCAAGTCAAAGTGGCTCAATGATATGTCAGAAGTAAGGATTATACAACCTAAGAAACAGGAGCTGTAAACTAACCCTCGGGAGCAAAGGTAAGCTTCTAGCCGGCCTATACACGAGGAGACTAACCTTTTATTTGATCTGTCTGTTCATTTAATATGAAAGTCCATACGCGTTAAGAAAATAGTGATGTATCGATCAAGCCCCGCCCCCTGACCAATCAGGTTTCAAGAAATTATCGTTTCTTACGAAAGCTTATAGTTTATTATTTGGTTGGACAAAAGTAATGTTAAGATTAATATTTGACTGATTTATTTTTGTTGATTTAAAACACGTAGGTAATGGGTGTTAGTGTGTGTTCGGGTAGATATCTTGACAATATTATTATGTATGTGAACCGTTCATTTTGTGAATGTTTAATGTGTTATTAAGTCTAATTTTTAGTTAGCCTAAAGAAAAGGCTAGGTTGGTGTCGGTGTCCTTAATTTATGGTACTTGTGAGTACAGGGTACGAAATACTTTTTAAAAATTATTTATTCACTTGCTTTTCCATGTGCTGTGTTTTTTCGGTAAAAAAATCTTTGATGTCTGGTACATGGTACCTCTATTTGCATTTGTTTAAAAAAAAACTAAGATGTCTTGACTGTTTGAATATCGTATAATTTTTAACCTTAGTGTGTTTTGGATGTAAGAAAGTATTAATGTTCTGTGTGAAAGACTCGTGACACTAATATTAAAGCTTTTCTTTTGACAAACATCCATTGTACAAATCTTTTAGCATTAAACATTCCAAAGTATAAATATAGACTGATAACGTGATAGAAATAAATAAAAGACATTCATACTTCACATAACTGGAAAATACAAACAAAATTTGTTGGGAGAGAAAATAACTTTAAATAATTTTAAAAATTTCTTTTATAATTTAGTAAATTTGTGATCTTTCATAGATCGTGAATGTGCACAGTAGAATCGAATTCGTGTTTTCTTTCTGTAAAATGCACCGACCACGATGTAGAAATCCCAGCTAGGCTCACAACCAAGCAGTAGCATCTAATATGTTAACGTAACAGTTTTAAACGTTGTCTTCTGCGCTACTTTCAAACATTCACGTTCCATGATATTTGGCTGACCGCGTCGAGTGCGTTTGAACGCAGCAGCCCGCTGCAGTCTCGAGCCAGACGGCCGCACGCCAGTGCGTCGACATTATGCATTTTCATATAAAAATCGAACATCAAACGAATGAGCCGTAACGGCACATAACGGCTAGCCGCAAATGCGTTTTAAGCTTTGGTAGTAACTTGTTACCGAGTCTTAAGTGCTAAAAAGTGTGTTACACCTGAGGGGTAAATGTCAAACACAAGCTACGCAAAGTTTTCCAAGCTTTACAAATCTCGTCGTTATAAAAAATGTTGTAAAATCTCTACAATGTGGTTTGGTGCACTTTGTTCTTTACTGGTTCGCTTTAACCCCATGGGTGAAGTTTTCCATAAATTTTCATATCATTGTACATTCTAGTTAATATTGCTTTACATTTGGTTAATATTCTAAATAAATTCAGAATCGCCTATGAAGGTATTATTGGAACTGTTCACCATGTGTGCCAATATATTTTTCACCCCCGTAACCAATTTGCAGCATGTCACAGTAGCCGCTTCATAATACGTGACCATGATCACGGTAAAAAAATATAGTAATCAAAATGGGTAAAAGTTTATCAAGTTAAATTACTGACTTTTTTAAAACTAGTAAAAATTAAAATAATTTGAGATTCATCATCATCAACAACCTTTAGTAGTCCACTGCTGGACATACTAGTATATTATGGATTAGTATCTTCTTAGAAAAGAGGTGTTGGTCTAATACTCGTACCACGGGTTGGTATAAGGTTTGTTTCCCTTCGTAGCAAGAATAGGATTAGATTGTCTTGTGATTTAGGCAAACGGATAAAATCTTAGTGGCTAAAAGAGGCCGGTATTGCGTACCTGTATGTTAGGGTATGGCGATCAACAAATATTGATAGATGTATCTCATGCTAATTGTTCCTTAAACTTCTCTAGGCTCATATTGTTACTTTAGTTTTTTTTAATTCCGCTATTGTTTTTCAAGGATAGTTGTAAGTGGCTTATTTTCTGAATTCACTTGCAATATACGTGAGATATTTTTTTTTCTACAATAATGTTATAAGTAAAACAAGGTAGATTTGACAACTTAGTTGAATTATTGTTGTTGGCACGTAATATAGAAATGTTATAATAACAATAAATGTGCCATCCATCTACACCTATTTACTCATAACATCATTGTTTAACATTAATAAATATAATACTAGCTCCACTCTACTTTAGCAATAAAGTAAAAATTTGGGAAGAATATATTTTGCATGCATGCATGCATGATATTTGTATGCGTCTGTATAATTTTAAGTTATGTACTACAAGTACATTTTATCTAATAGTTTTAGTGTGTAAAGTAAAAAGCGAATAAATCATTAATTCGAAAAATGTATATTTTGTTTTTATAAAACCATTATGCCCCATACACACGGTAGGTACTTGTTTCTATATTAAGAATGTCTTTATTTTTTTTAATATATTTAAATAAGTAACTATTCAAAATGAATGAGCAAATTTTAGTGCAAGCTGAGTGTATTCCATAGACTATAACTCTTCCAGAGCGCTTACGCAACGCAGAGCAACTTTGACTGGTTTGTTTTTTTTGCTTGGCTTAAATATTGTTTTAACTTATATGAAGACTGTCTTTTGTACCGTCAGCAACTACAGTACTAAGGAATTGATGCTTAGAGTAGACACTACAATAAATATTTATTTATAGCTTTGATTTTAACAAACATAATGTCAATTTAAATATTTTAATTATTAACAAAAGTGTCATTGACACGCTCTAGTCTGACACGCTCTTGTCTATTCTGATAATAGTGATCTAAGTATTAGGTTCTTTAAAGACGCAAATACATATTTTTTTCAAAAGATCTATGAGAATATGGCGAAAATAAAGAAACGTACTGTTATGTAATAAAGTATCAGTATATGAAGTTTTTCTGCTGACCGTACAGGGACTGTTTTCGCACAGATAAATAGTTTGATTTTATCCCATATTAACTTCTCATTTAAAAGAACATGCATGGGTATTTTGCAAGTATCTGAGGCTGTCAAATATAACAACCGCTTCCATCTATAAAATGACAAATATGCTGATGATAGCTGACGAACGAGTTGTTAGCCAAAGTAAAGAATGAAATTTCTGTTATAGTGTCAAAGTAATAACAAGCTAATAATCATCAATCAACGAATATTTTTTTTCGTAGCCATCTAATTATCTATTTTATGGCTCTTTAAAATGAATTTCTAGTTTGTGTGTATGGGGTGTAATAGTTAATTATTATAAATTTAAAATAATGTTTTTATTTTAAATGCTTTGAATGTAGTTACACGTATGTATTTATTAACCATAGTTATTGTGTTGCTTTGATTCAATATTTGTGCTACTGTAAAACATTTAAAACGATTATTTTTAAACCAATGTAGAAATTAATTTATTCCTTAATCAATTTCTATTGCGCTGATATGATTTGTGGTAAAAATCTTGGCACCACTGTCCTTTCACAAGCAAAATCTCTATGGTTTGGGGAATCCCCACATATTTAACATTTTCTTCCGCTCGTGTAAGGTATAAATTTAATATATTTTGCCTTAACCGTATATACAATTATTATAATCTTCTTATCACTTAACCCCTATGAGCTATTATGGTATAGACGTATATTCCAGACGTGCAAGGGCTATATGTAGGTATTATACGCATGTAAGATATACCTACTTTATGATTTTAAATTAGTAATGTATAGCTTAAAACCCCTTATCAGTAATTTTACGCAAGTATTTATGCGATTTTATGTGAAGCTCCGGGCCCCTTTCCCAATACAAGGTATTGACGTAGCTGTTGCATCTTTAAACATCAAAAAATTCTTAAAAGGCCATTCGAATCCATAAGGTTCCAAAGTGCTTGTCTATGCTGAGATCCGATTAGGTTTGTTGTTATTCACCTTTGGCTGCTGTATTCTCGGTAACAGAGTCCTCATTGTCTCTTTCCATTAACTCTCCTAGTTTCAGAAATTACTGCATAGTCACCAACCACCATAGATGACGTACAGAACTGGAAATCTGCACCGAAATCGTTATGCTGAAATCGTCAGAGATGTTATCAAAGATGGTATAAATGGTGCAAGGCAATTTTCACTTTAATTGAAAAGCTAGATATGTTAGAAGCGTAACTCGTTACTAAATCGGGGTTATGTTTATAAGGTGTTTTTAATTACTCAACGTTTTGTATAAATCAGAATCACGGGACATCTAATACGGATAAAAGTTTCGGCAGTTGAGATACTCCATTCCTTTAATTTACTTTTGATTGATTTCTTTGTGGGTTCCAAGGAACTCGAGTGTCAATACAGCATGTTAGTAAGTTACTGATGTTGATCCTGAACAGTACAGGAGCTACATTAGTGGAAGTGTGGAAGGGATTAGTCCCTTAAAAAGGAAGTTTCGGAAGTTTAAAAAACTTAATATCGAGTACAAAAGGGTCTAAAATAGAGAAAATATCTATAGATATTTTTTCTATTTCAGACCCTTTTATATTTTTCTTAGGGTTTAAAACAGGTGGCAAAGTTGCAAGAAAGTACGTAGGTAGTGACCGTGTTACCGACCTACATAAATGAACTATAAATAAAGTAACTGTTCAGCACACATTGTTTTAGCTGTGAATCTATTTTGTTAGGCAGACCAGCCGCCGCTATTGTACGACGCGATTTAACGGATCGTGAGGGGATATCTGTAGTGGTACCAAGCGTTTGTCAATTGCAGGATTATTAGGAGTTTCTTATCTTTAACCTTTCTCATTATTTGGACTCTAATTCAAATATAAGTTA